TCAAAGAGGGTCGCGTCCCGTGTCCGCGTTTCCGAGGCGCTGGCACCCTCAGAGCGCGCGGCCAACCGAGACCGAGCGGTGGCTTATTGTTCGGCCAGCGTAGCCCCTCGACAGCGGTGACGGACGCTGCCTCGCTGCACACAGCCCGTTAGCCTGTTAGACCCGACAGGGCCGCGGACCGCTCGCGCACGTGCTCGGAGCACGTGGGCGAACGGCGTCCGTCGCGTCACCGGTCGAGCCCAGGTTCCGGAGACGCCACCGTCACGGCGGCTCGTAACGGCCGGCGTGACCCCGGGGTCGCGCAGCGAGCTGGGGGCTCAGCCGTGACGCTTCTGGTTGGCGGGCCGGGCCAGTATGGCGCTGGCTGCTGTGGCGCCCGCCCATCCCGGCCTGGGCCTGCGGCTCGGCAGAACGCAGGCTGGTCTCGCCGGTTTTGCTCCGGGTGTCAGTGGTCTCAGTCAGGCTTGGCCCGGCTATCTCGCTCAAGCGCAGCTTGGTGAGCCCCGACCAAGTCGGTTTGGCGGAGCCGGGCCAGGTCAGTTTAGCGACCTTAAGCCAGGGTCAAGGTCTGCTGGAGGCGCGTCGGTCGCGTCCGGGCGGCCCGCGCCTTCCTCTGCGTCGCCCGTCGCTACGACCTCCGCCAGCAGGCAGGCCCGTGTTCTCCCGACGACGCGGATACGCGACCCCTGCGACCGCAGCGCCCCTGGCGGTGACCTCCCGCACCACCACCGCGCCACCGGTCGTCTGGTTCCCCGACCTGAGTGACGAATGTGAGGAGCCAGCCACCTCCAGCGGCTTCAACGCCTTCGGCTTCCTGGCCTTCGTTCTCTCTGCCGTCAACCTCATCAGCGTGTTGTCCTCAAACGTCAACAACAACATCAATAACAACAACAACGACAATAACAACAACGACAACAACGACCTCAACGCCAACGAGGACAACGCCAGCACTAACCAGAACGTGCTGAATCAGGTGATGATATCGCCCGGACGACGGCGACGTTCGTTCGAGTCACACGAGGGCCGTGACAGGAGGCTCTCCAACGAGCAAAGTGCAAAGAAGAGGTCAGAAAAGCACTCGGATACAGAACATCGCGCCTATCTTCACTCGACGAGAGCTGGCCGCATCTGGAGCGACGTGAAGAAGAGGGTGGACCCGGCACAGTTAGCTCCGGAGCTGCCAGCTCATCCGGACCCTCGACACCGCCCAGAGACGGAGTCGGCCATCGTCTCGTCGACTGAGACAACTAGCCCTGACCCCACTCAGCGATCCGGTGCGTTCCAGTTCGACCGTCAGGAGACCGGTCCACCCCCGCCAGACCTGGGGGAGGCCCAAGCAGACAGCACAGACCCGGAGGAGATCGGTCTCGTGGTGGCGTTCTCCGTGCTCTCGGCCTGGCACACGGCCGTGGTGACCGGTGACAGGGGCTGCACTCTGAGGGCGGCCTGCGACGCCGGCGTCCGCGGTCGACATCTGGGCGAGCTGGGAGACGCGCTGGTCGACGTCTTCAGGTGAGATCGACGGTGCATCGCACAGCATGAATGCATGAGTAATTGGCAGGAGTGAATTGTGATGTCTGTCAATTCCCTGAAACTAGGTAACTAATTTACTGCGAAGTGCGCGGGCCTCCAGTAGTCGTTTTTGCTCGATTACTCTGCCTGAAAAACAGATATTAGATTTGTTTACTGAATCAAGGTTCTCATCGTGAGTAGCTCATTTTGTGCCTTTTTATAGTCGCGGCACTCATTTACTATGGTGGCACTAAAAACAGTAATCGTCTGCGTGAATTTGGAGCCGTATATCAGCTGTTATAGCTTGGAACAATATCATAGCTATTTCACTGTGCTAGATATCCCATGTACTACGCGTGGTCTGCTGTTCTATGTAATCAAACCTCTTGTCAATTAGTTGTGATGTCTGTCCTTTATGTTTCTGCAATGTGGTATAAAGCATACGTTCTGTGCTCGTTTCGTGGTGATTGGAATTGCCAGTCAAACGTCTGCGTGCAAGGAACCAGCACATTGCTGCCTTATTCATGCAGCCTGTCGATGAGATGTTCGGCTCCATGTGCTGGGCTCTGTCCTTACAATCACGACATTTATTGTATTTTACGGACGAGGTCCATCTGAAGCGTGCCAGTGCCTGTATCCCACGCTGTGCTTCCTCTGCCTCCTGTACCGTCCTGGCCTATGCGCATGTATCTGCTTCAGCGCTGCACTGGCGGAGGTGCTGCACTGGGAGACGCCACGCATACGGCGGGAAGACGTGCTTCAGGCGGCGGCGGGGACGAACTGCGACGCGACATATCCCTGCTGGTCGCAGCCGGCTGGCGATCGGTAACGACCCACTAGTCACCAGCTCGGCGGCCTGTCATCTGCGCTGTGGGCTCCAATGTGTCCCCCGGGGCGGCCGCTGTCCAAACTGGGGCTGATAAGACACATCACAGACGCGACATTCGTCAATAGCGTGGAACGGTGACGGCAGCGCCATCTATTTCACAGATTACAGGCTTATTTTCACAAGTCAGAGGGAAACAGCGCACGAACGTTGCAGAAGCACCACTGCAGACAACACCACCTCTATCGGGTGGCACTGGTACCTGATCACGGGATGAGACAGTTCCGTAGCATGTCGAAAGTGCTTTTGTGCGTGATGCTCGCGACCTCTGTCGGTGCCCTGAGTCACGCGTGGGCGCCGGACGCCCGCCGGCCGTTCCGACGCTCCTCCGCGCCACTGCTGCGCCCCCTGTCGGCGGCCGGCCGGCGGACGGGGGCCGGGTACGGCGCGCCAGTGTACGGAGCCCCGCAGCAGGCGCCAGTGTACAGAGCGCCACAGCAGGCGCCAGTGTACGGAGCCCCGCAGCAGGCGCCAGTGTACGGAGCGCCACAACAGGCGCCAGTGTACAGAGCGCCGCAGCAGGCGCCAGCATACGGAGCGCCGCAGCGAATGCCACCGTACGGAGCGCCGCAGCAAGCGCCAGCGTACGGAGCGCCGCGTCCAGCCCCTCCGCGGCCAATGACCACAGCAGCCACGACCACCACCGAGCCACCGCTCGTCTACTTTCCTGACGGCCAGGAGAAGGAGTGCCAGGACGCTGCCTCTGGCATGGGCTTCAACTTCTTCAGCTTCCTCACGTTCGTTCTGTCCGTGTATAATCTAGTGGGCATCCTGTCGAACAACATCAACAACAACAACAACGCCAACAATAATAACAATAACGACAACAACAACAATGACAATAACGTCAACGTTGCGGACACCAACAACAACCTGAACCAGGATAACATGCTGACCGTCATGGGCGGGGGCAGGCGGAGGCGGCACGCGGACCCACTTCCCATGTCCTTCGACTTCAGTCCCAGCCAGCACGACGCGGCCGCCGTTGCTGTGCTGGACTGGCTCTGTGATCTGTTCCCGGCCGATAGGGTTCCTCTGGCCGCCGCTGTTCTCTCAGCCAATCTGAACTGTGCTGGCGAAGGGGAGTGCAGACTGTACGAACGATAATATAAATTTATTTATCCGTAATTGCTTTTGTGAATTTTTGTGCACGCGTTTGGTGTTGTGCACACGCGTTTGGTTTTGCGCACACGTATTTTGGTGTGTGCTGTTGATACATCGAGGATTCTCATCCAGGCCCTAACCCAGTCTCCGCGGTGTCGCTGGTGACAGACCGAACCCAAACTCTGACCCTGTATCCCGTCAACCACATTGTTGCATTTTAACTCAACGGTAAGCAGGGCTACTTCGCCCGGAGTCAGAGACGATCGCGCAATCTGCTTCAAATGTTTTTGCATTGATCATTCGCATTTCCACACCAGTAGTTCAAACAAATGTTTTTGAACTGTTCTCGGATGTCGAGAGAAATGTGAAAAAATAGGGGTTCATCCGCGACAGGCGCTCAACGCGCAATTGCATAAGTTCAGTAGCTCAGTACTCGAATTTGCTCCCGACCAAACTGGCCTGGGGACCAAAACGACCATCTCTGACGACAGATGATCCGTCTTAAGAGATGACTTCGAACTAGAAGCTCCGCAAGCGACTTGCCCCGATGGTCTACGCGCTATGTTTACCTTATATATATATATATATATATATATATATATATATATATATATATATATACTCATGACCTCCCTGACCCAGAATCTCATTGTGACTTTCGGTCAACGCCGCAGAGTGTGGCATTCTTGTCAGGAGCTCATGCCCTCCTGAACTATAAGTTCATGGGGCCTCGCTGTCAGCGCGTCCTTTCTGTCTGCCGGGTGAGGCACTCCTGCCTGGTTCATTCACTGCTTCGGCTGGACGAGTTTTCTAATAGCCTAGTATTTTAATAGTAACTTGGCGATCAGCATTTACAATCGTCCGACCTGAATTAACTCTATGACCCTCGCCAGCACAAACATGAAGTGCATGAAAGAATACCTCCCCCGAACCAGAAACGCAACACGTATGACGATGTATTTCACGTGAACGTCATGTGCAGTACGGATACGTAACCTTTCCGCCAATCGAACAGCCCCATCAGCGTTGCGCGAAGACCGCAGTCAAGTGCATCCAGCGGCAAGAGGATCAGATCATGTGAAGCCAAACGGACTCCAGGCGCATCCGAGGTCGGTGTACTTCACGTCCATACTGTTCCAGAATCTCCTGCACCCATGCCATCCGGACATCGACGTCCGCCTAAATAACCGCATTCGTCCAGGTGGTCTCCTCAAGCCGCGCCGTTAAACAGCGCAAGGGTGATGATGAACATGACCAAGCGGCACCTCGGCAGCGTAGTTGGGCCGCGCCCACCCCAGCGGCCGTCACTGAGGTTTGTACATGGACTTCAACGCGCCAGACTGACTCAATCCGTTTCTCCAGTCTCACGTGCTGCCCACACGCAGCACCTCAGACATAGCCCGACAAACCAACGACAGCCGCGCTCCGTCCGGCAACACGGGCGAAACTCAGCGCGCACCAGGGCGGGTCTCGTCCATCATAGCGCCGTCTCCCCCCCCCCCCCCCCCAACGTCACTGAGCGCGCACCGCCGTGTCACGCTCGGCGTCCAGCGCACGGCGCGTCGTCACATTCGACGTGCGGGCAGCGCGCCGCCACGGCGCGCCCGCCTAGTCATCGGTCCGTTGGCGGATGTTGCGCTTCTTCTCGCCGTCGGTACGCCGCCGCTTGAACGTCTCGTCGGCGCCGGCGCCCAGCGAGCCGACCGTCCGCTGGCGGAATACAATGCGCGCCTTGTCTCGGCGCACCGCCGGCTGGACGGCCGGCCGCCGCTGCTCCGGCAGCTGCAGGTCCACGGGCGCCGCCGGCTCCCTGGCCGGGGAGCAAGGGTCAAGACGCTGCCGCACAGCAGGCTATCTGTTTGGTTCGTTTTAGGACGCGCGTACCTGGTGTTACAACGGGCTTTGCGATCCCTCACGTTGGCTGTAGCGCGGAGGGAGAGCTGCCAGTAACACATCTTAAGCCCACACCGCAACGGTGGATGGGCGAGGAAGTCACTGCAAAGCCACGACGTACCGTACCGTACCCCATAAAACATTTCGAGCCATGACGGTAACACAGTCTAACAGCTTCGCCGAGGCAGGCACACAGGTCAGATTCGAACCAAACGATTTATCGGGTCGGATCGGCACTGCAAAAGGGGCTCAGATCAAGTCTGCCAGAACCTCACAAGCAGATCAGTCGGCACGGCAAGGAACAGAACGGCAACCACAGAAACAATTGACTTAGGCAGAGCTCCTATCAGACTGGTACCGCGGGGACCAATGAGTCTTGTCATCGCTACAGCGGGGTTCGGGATTGCGGGCAGTTCGGTACCGAACGCACGACAAGTTCCAGCATGCAACAGAGACAGCCGAAGCAAAGTCTCCAGCCAGGGAACGATTCGCACACAAAACAGACCACGACCGCCTCCAGCCAAAGCGCGTGCGGTCCCTTTGAAAACATGTCCAGCTAGTCTACATCGCACTCATCACACGCTTGAATGATCCATCGATAGGTGACTGGCGAGGAAATGCCACGCAAGAGCATGCCGCCAGAAACTGCCAACTCAGGGCGCCCGTGCGGGGAGGAGCGTACCGACACATGCCGGTGACAGGCAGTGCTTACCTGTGAACTTCTTCCCATTTGCTGCCGTACGGGTCGGGCCGGTTCGCCGGTCCCATCACGTCCTCTGACGGCGGCGGCGGCTCCTCGTCCTTCTCCGCGGCCGGCTCCGATTCTTCCTTCTCCTTCTCCGGCTCCGGGTTGGCCGGCTCCTGGGACGGCTCCGGCGGAGCGCAGTCGGGCAGCGCCACGTACCCCTCCTCAGGCGGCTCCCAGACGGCCTCTGTCGGCACGCGAGGAGGTCGGGTCAAGCGAAGACTCGTGAGCTGATGAGCACATCGACACGAAGTCCGCAGAGTCCAACTCTTTTATCTAGTGTGAGACGAAGTCAAAAATGGGGATAAGCACAAAACAGCCCAGCTGGGAGTCATATCTGCAGAGCAAAAATGCCAACAGCGAATTCCGTGCATAGCCGACAAGAATCGGCCATCCTTCACCACCCGGGTTTGCCAGCCGCAACGCGCTCGCACGCGCCGCAGCAGCACCCACCGCCGGTGTCCACATGCCAGTAGTAGGAGTACCCCTGCTCCGACTTGGCCTCCAGCCACTTCTTGACCGGCTCAGCGTCCTCGGCCGGCGGCGGCGCGCCGTCGGCGGCGGGCGGGGTCGTCTCCCGGGGCAGCGGCGCGCCGTCCAGCGTCGGTCCCTGCTCGGGTAGTGGCACACCGTCCATGGGCGCGGCTGCGTCTCCGGTCGCCTTCCTGCCGAGCGTCACGCCGTACTGCTTGGCCAGGTCAGGACTGGCCATCAGGTCCTTCTTAAAGGCCGCCATCGCCGCCTGCCAGGGAGCGCACAGCGTCAAGGGAGAGGATAGGGAAGGTGGCAAGGGATGGGTGATGCCTCAGCTCAGATTTAAGATGGTCAGGATCTTCACCAGCAATACTTGCAATGGGTTTACAGGTTGGCTGTGATGGTTCAAGACACTGTCAGCTGGTTGATGACATAGTTTTAATAGTTGTGGTAGTACCAAAGCCAACCATTGTACAATGTAGGAGGGCACCTGACACACAGAGCCAACTTCACCTTCCTGACACATCATTGACACAGAACTAAGCCCTTGTTTTAAGTTTGAGCAATGACCACAGCTCAGTGCATGACATTGCTGCCAGTCCGCCATCACCTTCTCCATCTGTTGCATGTCAGCCTCAAGCTGCTGCTGTTCGATGTGGTCACGGCGGCCACGCTTGGCCAACTCGGCCAGCCGCTCCTTCACCGCCTCCTGGTGGCGCTTGCCACGCTCATGGAACTCGATACTCTGCAGGCAGGCATACCACCATGTAAGAGGCCATGCTCCTGGCGGGCGGACCACGGGACACACCATAACATGCACTCCAGGTCACTGAAACAAGTGTGCCACAATGAACAAGACAGTGTGTAGATATTGAAGGGCTCCTATGTCCATCTGTTATGGTTCAGATGCTATCTGTATCATCACAGATTATTGCAACAATGAATGCAGAAGGTGCTGCTCCATGGCAGTAATTAGAGATATAAAATAATGGCAATTGGGTTTTAAAAAACTGCAAACTTATCTTTTACTTTTAAGAGTGCTGCCACCCAAGCAAACAAGCAACACTGCATTGATGGCTGATGATGGCACCTAGCAAAAACCATGACACTGGCAATGTTTTACTCACAGATCTATTATCAGCAAACCAGCACTTGCAAAAGTCACAGAATTTTCTTGGGTTTGACTTCCAATAATCTGCCCTGAAATCATAAATGATGATTAAAATATAAAAACACAGACCACTATGTAAACCAATGCACTTTTTAAAACAAACAGTCACCAATATGCTATAACATGGGACACAAACACATTAAAATTGTGCTGCATACACATTTTAGCAGCATTGGCAAACAGGGAACAGGCAACAGCTGGTTACAGGCTATAACAGGGTAATGTTTGAAATAAATCACAGGTTAAAATAGATAAGATAGAACTGCACCTGGCTTGGTCCAATGTAACCAATCCACATTAACTGCAATCATTTTCAGATGTGAACCAAACTAACCTGCCTGTTGAGCATGAAAAGCAATCTCACAATTCGCAAGGTTGGCGAACACTTACATGGTGCCGAGCTGGGGTCAAGTATTATAATTCAATTGTTGATTCAGAGAGTCTTTGGCTTTGTGTCCTGTAAACAATTAAAAGACCAGCATTTGATGGTTACAGCCTGTATTATCACAAAGCATGTGCACTTGATATCAGATGCACAGACATTCAGACAAGATTATGTTTCACACAGAATCATGCCAGAAACCCACAGTTCAGATGTTGGATGTACCATACAATGGGCTACATTTCCAGCAGAGTGCATGTCTTAAACACATATTGTTTCGCGCAAAAATTATGCTGTTACAAAAACCCTGAGTAGACCGAATGCCCCAATAGTGATCCTAGAAACTTAAGCTATCGATTTTGCACACTGATATTCAGGAACAGAGGTGGCAAATATTGCCCAAAACCAGACCATTGTGTTGCAAATTGCACGTCACACCCACAACAAATCCTTGACCAATTATTAACAAGGGAAAATCAGGACCCTCTACTCCACTTTCATTTATCCTTGGCGAAAAAAGGGAATGTCCATATTTGTCCTATGCATGCATTTTCAGTGCCGATTACAGATAAGATACGCAGGCGCCTGCATATAGACCTGGTACGTGTTGTCTGCTATTACACATATCCCTGGAATTCGCATAAACGCATGCGTTTGAACCGTGCTGACATGCAAAGCACACACAGCAGATAAGGGACAATATAATATTGCTACATGTATTGTGCTACGCGTAGCGCACATTGGACTGAGTTAAATACAACATACAAAAGGCGAACGTACCACAGTAAGGTCTCAAATACTTAAATTTTACGTTCGGTATTACCCGTTTTATCACATCTTGATACAGGAAAAACTTATTTAGTGGTACACTCTCTACTTACATGAATAGGTCAAAACGCCGCTGATCATACATATGTTACGCGGGGCGTCGTCTTCGCTGGCGGTTGCATGAGAGGCGGCTTGTTTATCAAAGAGTGGATTGGAGAGAGAGCAGCGGTCGATATTTATCTTCTTTCTGTTGACTATCCTACAGGCTAAGGTACAGCTGAGACAGGTGGTATATTTTAAGTTAACATTGTGAATGCGAGGTTTTTTCGTGTGTAAGTAGGTGCCATCCAGGGCTGGGGCCAGCGTAGAAAACATCCGCAACCTACATCGTACCTTAACTTCAGCGGAACCTCAATGCTGTGTGGATGCGCCAGAAACTTCGGAACATTAGATGGTTGCATTGGAATTGGCTATATATCAAAAGAAATACATGCACTGGGTATTCAGCATTATGAGATGAAATTAGATGTCCTGAATTAAATGGGAACATGCAGAATATGTTGAGCATACTTGATGTAATTGATATTTAGCATAGCATTCAACCATTATCTCCTGATGTACTGAGAGCTGGGAATTTAAGAGACTATCTCTTATGTTGTATTGGTGCTGACCTTGAGAACATTTGTTCATGGTGTGAGCTAACATAGCAAATTTGCAGTATGTATGGCAGCATGCTATTATACAACATGTACTAACTGAAATCATGTATGCATCAGGTGCCAACAGCATGCAAACAATCTAAATTTATTATATGGTTTGTAAAAAGTAGAAACTGAAGTCTTGTTCAGTCAGCTATGAACATTTTTGGTGCAGTAAGACTGGGGATGTACTTAATTAGTTCATACAGTATGTGCGCCAAGCTTGGCAAGTTCAGACCTAGTGCTGCCTCAAATCATACCAAGTTCTTGACATGTACACATCAGAATTAGCTTGTGCTATGGCATCGCATTTAGTCCTGTTTTGCAGAGAGAGAATAGGGATCAGTTACTTTTCCAACCCAACAACAATCAATAACATTGTCAACCTATGCACCCACATATGGCATGGGCTCAGAAAATATACATAAAGCAACCTCATTCATGCTACATGCCATCCTTTGCCAGTTAAGCATGCTTTTAAACTTATCCTCTTTATTTTGTTCAGTTGTTGATTGGTGTTTTCGGGCGCGCCAACTGCGGTGGTCATTTGGCGCCCAGATTATTTTGTTCAGTCAGCTGATATTTGTCTTGTCCAGGTCCATTGCTTTTAGGTCACTGGGATGAAATCAGGGGAGGCAATCATTCATCCACCATCATCTTGAAATCTTTGTGATTACTTTGGCATATATTTCTGAAATGCATGTAGTTTCTACAACCAGTGACAGTTGCATTGTCATGCCATGGCTAACCATACTTGTAAATCACTGATAGTCATCACTGATTCAAAGCCAATATGCACAGGATTTTAAGCTTGGAGTGGTAGCTTCTGAAGTCACAGAGAATGGCTGGCAATGGTACCAACCCACTGCCCTCAACTCAGTGGTAGCTCCTGAAGTCAGGGAGCGTGGCTGGCTGTGGTACCAACCCACTACCCTCTACTCATGTAGGCTATTATAATGACCTGAAAGCAATGAATGAGGGATGGATTGGCTGAGAAGTATGCTGAAAATCAAATGGTGTCAATAAATCAGCCACGCTATTCCATCACGGAAAAAGACTGTGGTGCCATTCCATGGCTACCTCATAATTTGAAGGCCACCTTGGTGACCTAAGGCTAGTTTATCATGGGCCAAGGAGCTGCCCATCATTCTTGTGGCATCACTGATAAGTATGCATGACAGGTCTTATGCTACATTTGCAGCCATTCATGTGGCATGGGTTATTAGGGGCTCATGGTGTCAGGAATAGCTAGTCCACTAATGTAATAATAGCATAATGATATAATAACTAAAAATAGCTAGTTCAGATAATGACTTGTCAGTGGAGAGGTTACTCAGTGGTTACCATAATTACCTAGGCACAGGTAATTATATAACATAAGAAGACCTAGGAACATTCAAAGTAAAATGGCATGATCATATCAGCTGTGTGCATGGAGGATCTAGGTACATTACAAAAATTGTTGTTTTCAAGTCCTAGGCAAAGCTGTAGATTGGCACACATTGTCCTTGCTCTAGTAGCAACCAGGTTATTCAGTATGAGGCTAGTTCCAAGAAGTGTGGTTGTTCTGCTGTTCATAGCATATACTTTGACCATTTCGTTTTAAGCAGAGGCTGTATATCATCCCAACCATGCATCAGTAGATTGACAGGTAATGTATGTTAGTGGGCAGTGTTTAACCAAATTTGGGAAAACTCTGTGGTGACTGTTTGGCAATGTGTGTTGGCTCTTTGATTTGGGGTTTTTGGTGTTTATATGTATTCATTATTGCTGGCATTTCAGAGTCATGATTATCAAATCTTGTTGGGCTCCCTGGATGTTCTATGACAACACCAGACAGGGGAGCCATGCAGTTGCTGCATACACTGTGGTAAGTCCCTGTGCCATCAGTATTACTGCCTTTGTGTGATGGAAATTGTTCCTTTTCATAGAATGATCCATTGATGAAACTATCCTTTAACTATAGTTTTAACTGTGTCATCCTACAAATATGTGGATGTTCATATGCATGCTGTTAGCTGCTTGACATTTACAACTTCTTGGTGACCCACCATCTCATATATTTTCATGACATGCACATTTTGTCATCCCATAATTTTTTCCAAATGTGGATGGGTGTGTTCATTTTCATCTGCTGGATCTTGAAATTGGACTGGTGCCATACCATTTTTTTTATTGTCTGTATTGGCCATGTTGAAGCAGGCATGGGAATGCTGTCAGGCTTATGGCTTCGGCGAATCCAGAACTAAGACAATGACAGGAAGCCCGGGTCGAAGACGACAGCGGTGGCATTAAAGGTTGAAACTTGAAGTCGAAGCCGAAGCCAATGACTTTGTGTTTTAGAACGCGAAGCCGAATCTGAACCCAATGGCTTCGAAATATGAACAGTGAAGCAAAAGCTCACGCTAGGGACTTCAAACAAATCAATTTGACAAATTCGAAGCAGGTTAAGTTTGCATGAAGCTGGAGCCGAAGCCATAATTCAGAACGTTTTCGAAGCCGCAAGCAGCTATTGGACATGTCACGAAGCTGAAGCCGACCTTTCGAAATGGCATGGAGCTCAGGTAGAAGCTGAAATCATTGGTAAATGGCTCAAGGCTGAAGGCGAATCCGAATGTGCGGGAGGAAAACCGCTGCTTCGTGAAACCGAGGCCGAAGCGGAAAATGGTTTCGTTTCCGTACCTATTTTGAAATTGTGATTTTGTTCGGCTTGGGCCGAATGAACGTATTGATACTGCTACATATGGGTGTACAATTTGTCATGCTTGCTTGCCTTACAGGTTATGAGCATTGTGGCCATCATCTTCTTCACGTATCAAATAGCTGGCGGAGACTCGTCACAATTTTACCTTCCGCTGTTCGAGAGCAACAAGGGTTCATGTGAGTGCCATTTGTGCGGTCTGGACCGATGCTCAACCTGGCCCTTTGCGTGCTATGGCTGGCCCCTTGCACTTGACTTAATTCTGAATTGCAAACTTGCTGCATGTTTTACAAGGTTGCTGCGCAGATATCTAAGGATCTGCCTTCTCAATCCGTGGAGAGCTGGTGTTCCGGTGTTCCAATGCTTGTGCCTGGCGCATATCCCATCCTGGCGGTATGGGACAGGTCTCCGAGGCAAACCGCCAGCTATGACAAAGAGGAATTCAGGGTCGTCTGCTCAACGCTCCTAATGTGACGCAGTGCTCTGGTAACGCCAGCCGCCTCGCCAGAGGATAGAAAGTCCATCGGCGCTAACTGACCCGGGCGCTCCTTTCCGCAGCAACCACCACGTGGGGCCTGCTGCTGGTGCTGCTGTACGTCATCTTCGCGGCGCTTTCCATCCTGATGTCGTCCGGTGTGAAGCGCGAGCTGCGCTTCATGGTGCTGCCCTGGATCATCTATAACTTCCTGTACCTGCTGCTGCTGCTGGTGTATGGCACCTGGCTCGTCTACACCTACTACTCTCTGGTGAGTCGCGCCGCCGCTGCCGCGGCCCGCGCTAACGCCGGGCCGCGGTCCTGTCCGGGCAGCGCGGGCTCACAGTCGGGTGTGGTGTGTCACTATCGGTACTGCGGCTGGTTTGCGGGTACAGGGAACCCACCAAGCGCCGCTAGCCGGGTCTCAAGCTGCCTGATGGATATGCGAGCGGGTTATCCTTCCCCGCGTTTCTCGGTGCTCATTCCACCATTTCGTCAGCGGCAGCCGAGCCTTAGCACAGCTCTCCCAGCCCGTCCGTCGGCGCAGGCACCCTGGCGGACAAGCTCGCAAACTGCTGACCCAGACCCGTCAGGGATCTGCCCCCGACGACGGCAGCTGACGCCAGCCAGAGGTCGGCGCGGTCTGTCAGGCTGCCGCCGCCGTTCGCTGACCGCTGGCGCACGCTTTTCAGCTGTGGTCAGTGATGGCCTGCATGATCATCTACCTGCTGGCGGCGCTCCACTTCTACCTGCACCTGTGCGTGTACTCGCAGTACCAGCTCATCAAGTTCAGCCAGATGCCAATCATCGAGGTGTACTACCCGCAGCTGTGAGCGGCGAGCGGCGCCCGCGGCGCCCCAGGTCGGGTCAGGCCCGCCACTTCGTCCGTCCCATCGCCCTGTTGTGATTCGCTGTCATTGTCTGGTGGTCGACCGCGCTGAGAAGCTCGCAGCGGCACTCCGTCCGCCCCGCGTGCGCGGAGGGCGACCCCATCCGTCCAGAGACTTCTTTTGGTGTTTTAACCGGGTGTTCCCGTGTCATTTGGGTTTGTTTTCCGTGCCCTTTGTATTCCATGTCGGGATCATTCCTGCTAATTCGCGGAAGGCTGTTGCCAATTTGTTCGAGATGTTGTAGACATGTTTTAGGAATGGATGACTCATAATCGACCTGTAGATAGGTTGCCTTCCCGGCGTTCGCGGTCTCACTGCACGAGTGACTGATGAATACATGAGCCATTGTACGCGCGCAAAGTTGGTACACCCCTGTTCTTTACAGCTGCCCAGTATCAGCTGCTTTTGGTTGTACATTTCTACCCGAATCTCATGCGGAGTCTCCACATGTGTCGAGTGTCTACATGTGTTGAGTCTCTACGTCTTTGCTGTGCTGAAGTTGTCTTCAGCATGCGGCAGTTCGTAATAAATCATCATACCACACTTGTTGGGGCATGCTGCACGACTTGATTTGAACGGAACGCGAATCAGACTGCCTAACGCGAATCAGAGTGTCTAACTCAACCAGCGACACCAATTTAGGGCTGAACATTGCAACCCTGCCTTCACTGAGAGGTTCGAGAACTATCCAGCCTGCTTGCCTTTCTTGTGACTGTCAACTAGAATTGCAATACATTCTTTTATGTTGTATCCATTCATAGCTTTTACTGCCATTCATCGAACATTACAATTTATTTATATCCGTGGCAGGACGACACAGCTGTGAATCTGGTGAATGTGCAAAACACATGTATGAGCATGCAGCACGATTTAGACGTGTGTAAAAACAATTTCATTGAAACACAATACAAAACCGAAACAGCTTCCCAACGCTGTCCTATTTCGCTCCAGCAACGGAACAAATGGCTATCAAATTCGTAACCGTCCACCTATTACTACCAGCTAATTGACATGCTTCGTTTCGCTCGAATGACAACCCGCACACTTAAGGAGATTTATCGCGTGCAGATATACACGAATAGCGGCGAGCTGCTGACCTATACCACGCCGCCCACTGGCCCAGCCCTCAGAGGGTAGGAGAGATCAAAACTATCAGTGCCGCGACGGTGGCGCCGCGGTGCGGCCGCCCTGTGAACCATCAGTGGCGATGCCAGGTGCGCTCAGACGGGCGCGGCGGCGGCCCCCGGCCGCGGGGCCTCCGCTGGGCCCCGGCACGAGTCTACCTGGGAGTGGGCCTCCTTGGCGTTCCGCGCGCTCATCTCTGCCTCCATGCGAGCCATCATGGCCGGCAGGTGGCAGAAGTATCGGCCGGCCGCCACGTGGCGCAGGTGCACCCGCTGACACTGCTCCGGCCCGTACCTCTGCCGGGGAGGGGTGGAGGTGAGCAGGGACTGACAAGTTCCGGTCTGTACCTAAGCCGCGTGAGGCGGGGGGGGGGGGGGGAGAAGAGAACTTCAACCGGAGACGGACATAAGCCTGGAGGCCTGTTTCGTTCCGAAGCCATTTAGTGGCCTGGTCCAAGTCTAGCGGCGCGGGTGAGCGGCACCGAGTGGGGCGTGCTGGGTTCGGGCCTGTGGCGCAAGGTGCCCTGGCGTGCTGAGCTCTGGCCTGGGGCGTGAGTGCTGACGTACCGCGCTCAGACCTTTGACGTGAGGCGTGCTGGACTCGGGCCTGTGGGGTGAGGCGTGCTGGGCTCGGGCCTGTGGCGTGAGGCGTGCTGGCGTGCCGGGCTCGCCGCCTGGCCAGCCGTGCTCACCTCCAGCGGCCGGGCCAGCTTGTAGTGGGCCTCAGCCTCATCCCGGGTGAGCAGCACACAGTTCCAAGGCGTCCACGGCTGCGCCACATCCCAGCGGCAGAGCACCAGCTCGTACAGGTCCGGGTCGGCACTCAGACACGACTGGCCGCCCCACAGCGACAGCACCAGGTGACGGAAATCAGAGTCCTGGCCGCACACGCACACACACAGGTCACGTGGGGGCCGAACAGGCGTTATGCAGTCACATGGACATAGTGGGTCATAGTGGCGGGGTTCGCAATGAAGCAGCCCTCCACTTACACATCACGTAGAGGGCACGTATCGGTCACATGTGCGCTTGACGTCAATCTGCACACATACACCGTGTGGAAATCAGCTGAAAAAATAACTGTGCAAACAACATCCACCCTTGCAAGCCATCCCACTCACAGCCGACGGCAGCGAGCGGCGCGTGGCCGCGACAGCTCCGTGAGAGAGCTGTGAGGTGAGGGCGGGCGGGGGCGTCTGACCTGGATGAGGCAGGCGGCGGCCGTCTCCGGGGAGCGGTGCTGCTCGTCCCGCCGCAGCTCGGCCAGCATCAGGCCCAGCACGTTGTTGTCGAGCCGCCGAAGAGCCCAGTTCTCTAGCTGGTCACACAAGCGGCACCTAACCGGGGGAAGAACAGTTATACTGGTGTCGAGTGCAGTGAAGGCGTCTGGCTGTCCGCACGCTGGTGCGGCCAGTTGGGGACCCACACGCATTAATCGATGCTATTGGCAATGTGACATGTGATTAAAATGTGTGTCACCAATGGGCTTAAATGATACCCAGCCGCTGGGCGCAAATCACGACCAATCAGCAGGTTCAAGTCACACTCTAATAGGGCGTTCAAATCACGCTCAACTGGTAGATTCAGACGATAACCCACCATTGATGAAACGCTTACCCCTACATCCGCAGTACTTTAAAATTATATCCTATTGTCCTACCCAAATGCCAAGTTATCAGCAACGCCCCAACCCCAAACCAAAAAGCAGCCCTCATCGATGTGACACATACATAGACAGACTGAGAGGAGTGCCGCCGCCAGTGTCTGGTACCAGCGGAGGAGCTGAGTGCGCTCCGGGGCGGGGCTCACCTGCGGAGCGTGACGTCGCCGGCGTTGACCTGGAACTGGTCCCGCGGCAGGCAGCGGTGGCACGACATGCACGTGTTGACGTCACCCCTGATCGACTCCGGGTCCAACGGCACCTGAGCACGGCAACAAACCAACTCAGCCGTTGTGGCTGGCGGGGGGGGGGGGGGGGGCAAAAACCGCACGCGGAATGCCGGTGAGAGCCGCACAAACTTTCCCATAACAAGCAGCACATTACGCGCCTAACAACATTGGGAACACTGACAAGGCCGATATGCGAAATATGTTCATGATTTAACAACGCCCCTTCCTCCCACTCTCAACCAAAGCCACAGCATATCGTGCGACACGCGCAACCTTCTGCACAGCCTCTGGAGCACTGGTCCCCGGGCTGACCTTTTGGTGCTTCACGGAGGCCGGGTTGAAGTTGACGTCGCGCAGTAGGCGCCAGAACAGCTGGAGCGCGCGCTGGCGCAGGCCGGCCAGGTGGCGCGGCGCCACGCCGCGCGACAGCAGGTCAATCTCGCGCTTACACAGGTCACGCAGCTCGTGGTTCTCGGCCGAGAACGGCAGACCGCCTATCTGTGGGGCGGACCCGGCAGCAGTGTGTTTAAATCGGTCCAGTAGTTCGCTATTTCAACAGCCGTGTGCGCCAAACGCGTTTGAGCAGTCAAGAGTCTGTTGCCGCCCGCCTCACCAGGGTGACGAGGGTGGAGAGGATGTCGGCCCTCTCGGAGCACGTGAGGTCGGGCAGCGTCATGGCCGTGTGGATGTCGCGCAGCTGGCGGGCCCACAGCGACATGTTGTTGTCCACCTCCATCACGCGGCCGTCCTTACCCACCCAGCGATGCGGGGCCTGCATCTGAAGACGGAACGAGCCTCGGTTGACAGGCGCAGGCGGCCAACTCGGACCAGCACTCGCAGCTGGTAGGCGTGCGAAACAAGTCACAACCGCCCGGACCACTTGCATCAGTGGTGCGTCATTAAGCAGTAGATTACAGCACGATATGGCACGTCTGATACACGCTACATTATTTGATACATAAGTGACATAAGTCCACAGCAACACAACCGCCTAAAAAGCATAGTGCTGCATTAAAAAAACGTCAATCGAACGTGACTTGAAATTCTGTCCCCCACCAGGGTCAACGGCTCACAATTGGACGAGAGTGCTTAAGGGAAAGTAAGCGTGATGCCCACGCATGATGCGTTGCCTTTGCCATTATCTACGTCACCATGTCCGTGCTATTATCTGTCACCGCGTCCGGTCTATCGTCTACGTCACCGGCCTTCTCGCAGCACACAATACAGATCTTGACAGTGTGGACGCACCTCAGCTGGACTGTACTGAGGTAAGGACAGCTGCTGATTGAAACCCTATTAATGAACCCCGCCATTACTAGACCACGAGTGCCTGTTTGCATGTGGCTTTTACTGGGCGAAGCAGGACACTTAGAAATATACGTGTCTGACCCACGTCACCATCACGCTGATGCAGCTATCCAACTCTCGCCTGCTCACAGCACGCTGACATGTGAGCCCCCGCCCCCTCCCCCTCCCCTGTCGCGCCCAGCCGCGGGACATGGCGCCCACCTCCTTCAGCAGGCGGTTGATGCGCTTGGCCTGGCCGTCAGTGGCGGCCCGGTTCTGGTGGCCGTGGATGGCCTTCAGCATCTCGGCCTCCTGCTCCAGAAGCTGGCAGAGCGCCGCCTTCAGCTCTCCGCCTGCCGGCGCAAGCTAAAGTCAAGCTAACATAGCAGCGGGCAGAGCGAGCTAAAGTCAAGCTAACATAGCAGCGGGCCTTCAGCTCTCCCCCTGCCGGCGCAGGCTGAAGTCGGGCTACCATAGCAGCTGGTCGGGGCACTGGTACCTAAACAAAGGTGCAGATGGTAGACCAAGAGACTTGGAGCTACATGATGCAAGTTGTAATAAAACCCGGTTGCAACCAGCAAAATACACTACACGTCAATTCTCAACACCTTACGCGACGAAGCAACAAAGTTGAGCGACATACAAATTTAACATTAAAACACAGCATATCAAAAGCCAAGGTCATACAAAAGCGGCGCGTATACTGCCTCGTAACTTGCCGGATTTAGTGGAATAGCAGTACGCAATGGCTTTCTTCCGCCAGGCCTCCAGTGCGCTGAACAAAACGTCAAAGTCGTTCTTGGTTTTCGGGTCCATTTTTCGCTCCACCAGTCCGTGTCGCCGCTTCAGACGAGCCTACGGCAGCACATATCAGCATTGTCAGCCTTATGTCCTACACCCCCCCCCCGCCCCCCCCCCCCCCGAGCCGACCTATGCGGGTGTGGGTATATTCGGCTATAGCCATTCCCCGAAACCTTTCGAGCTTATATGCTACTTGTTATAATCAAGGTCACGAAAATGCATCAGGTATCAAAAGCGCTATGAGCGCCCTAGCGATGTGTTCGTACCGCGATCAGGGCCAAGCAGAACCCATCCTCTCACCAGCTGCACCCCAGATCTCCACTCTCCCCGACACCGCCTCCCATCCGGCTCACCAGCCGCACCCCCGACCTCTCCTCTCCCCGACATCCCCTCCCGTCCGGCTCACCAGCCGCACCCCCGATCTCTCCTCTGCTCGACATCGTCTCCCGTCCGGCTCACCAGCCGCACCCCCGACCTCTCCTCTCCCCGACATCGCCTCCCGTCCGGCTCACCAGCCGCACCCCCGACCTCTCCTCTCCCCGACATCGTCTCCCATCCGGCTCACCAGCCGCACCCCCGATCTCTCCTCTCCCCGACATCGCCTCCCGTTCGGCTCACCAACCGCACCCCAGATTTCTCCTCTCCCCGACATCGCCTCCCGTTCGGCTCACCAGCCGCACCCCCGATCTCTCCTCTCCCCGACATCGCCTCCCGTCCGGCTCACCAACCGCACCCCAGATTTCTCCTCTCCCCGACATCGCCTCCCGTTCGGCTCACCAGCCGCCGCCGCTCGGCGTCGTCCACGAGCCACTGCATGACCACGTCACGTTCCACGCGCATGCGCTGCACGCGGCGGCGGCATAGCCAGCGGCGCCAACACTTCTGCAGCACCACGGCCTGTCGACGCGACGCAGGCGTCAGTGGCACCGCACCAGTGAGCGGCAATGGGGGGGGGGGGGGGGCCATCAGCCGACATCCGCCAAAGGGGAGAAACGACGACCTTTGGCTATTGGTGTGATGAGCTGAGCATGGTTGGATTTGATACGCGTGTCTTCTATGGTGCTGGGAAAGAGAGCTTACGAGCAGTAGGGTAGAATCAGACATGTCTGATGAGCTAACAAGCAGGTAGAGCACGTAACATAACGCAGGCAAGGGAGTAGGCCTCAAAAATTAGTAATACACATATTGGAGAAGCACATTCATTACAGCGTCCCTTCATTCAATACAAAAACAAGACAAAGTACTACCCAGCAGCAGTTTTCCTCGCCGCCGCCCCGCTGGCGAGCAGACCTTTTCGTTGCGCAGCTGCATCAGCTGCTCAGCCGTCTGGTAGGCGCCGCTATACGTCACGACACGCTCGCCGGCGTGGTCATTCCACACCCCCGGCTTGGGCATCTGAGTGCACGTGTCCTTGCAAGTCTGCACGGCCACCTGGAGCCCCCAGGCCGTCTGGGCGTCGCGCTCGCGCCGCTCTGGCGGCACAGATCGCACCCGCTCACCGCAGGTCGGCCCAGACGCCCCAATGGCAGCGCGTGCAAGGAAGAGACTGGCATCTCTGGCTGGACGCCACTGAGAAGGGCGAGCACATGGCGTCTGACGGCGGTGTGCCCGCACTTCATGCGAGGTTTGGGTACACGTACCTCATCTCAGACCCCCTCCCCTACCACAGCCCCCGCCCCCCCCCCCCCCCCCTGCCGTCAAGCTGGTCCGTATTCACGACTATGGGATACATGAGTTATACTCAACATACACACCCACCTTATTCTGAACACTATTGAAGATGACCAAGTTCCACGACATTTTTCCCGCGCCAAAACAAAACCGTACCCCTATCCCGCCACGTTACAGACCGCGCCGCTCACCGTGGCTGTAGCTGCGGTAGGGTCGGGTGTAGGTCTGCGCGGAGGCGTTTAGGTACTCCTGGCCGTTGCGCTTGTCCCGGTAGCCACCGAGAAACGGCTTCCTCCCGGTGCACCGCTCCAGCGAGACAGTAACCGTGCGGCGGGAGGCACCCGAGCCTGCAGAGGGTACAAGGTCACGTCAGCCGCGCGCTGGCTTCCAGGGACCGACACCTGAGACGTTCGCGGCGCAAGGTAGACAAAGCGCCTCATGAAGTGACGTTCCAGGCCACACGAGAAAATAAGACCGAGGCAACACGGCTCCCACAGCGGGAGGCGCCCGCTCCACAGGCAGCCAGTCGGGTCCGGTCGAGTCGGATCAAATCTGATCTGATCTGATCTAATTTGACCTGATCTGGTCTAGTCGGATCTGTGCATCGTCGATGTGTCAGGTCAGGTCAGGTCGGGTCAGATCGGACGCGCACCTGTGTGCACCGTCAGCGTGTCTGGCAGGCGGGGCTCGGAGGCGCCCGAGCCCGGCCGGTCGGACGACGACGGCCGCCGGCGCACCAGCCGCTCCAGCACGCTCAGCGCGAACCCCTCCTGCTCCAGGTCCAGGCCGGCTAGCACCAGACTGTCGGGCACCGGCTCAGTGCCCTCGTATATCTCCAGCTGAAACGGCCGCCGCCGTCACGTGCCGGCCACAACCAGCCAGGACTCACATACGGGTCAAACATCCTGAGCCAAGTCAAAGATACTACCAACGGTCGCCGGTCCAAACTAACCGCCGGTATGACAGCCGACGACAAAAAAGGCATGCTGGCGCAAGGAGCTCCGGACCGGTATGCTGCTGTGTACCGGATGAAAAAAAATAATGCAGAGATCACGAAACCAACTGCTCCCAGAGGCAATCCAGGGTGCCTGCATGATTGCCACTCTCTGGTCCTCGGCTTACCTGGTCCGGCTCGCAGTGAAGGTCCTCGGCCAGCAACTCCAGCACCTCGCGCATGTTGTAGTTGATGTGCAGCTCCTTCACCAGGCGCCTGCCGCCTGGCAGCAGGAAGGGCACCACCATCTTGGGCGCCGAGTTCACCTGGGAGGTATCCGCGTCCCGCCACTGCGAGAGCCGGAAAGGCGGTCATCCGGGGTAGCTTTCACTGGGGCCAATGGCTCATTACTGTTGAGTTATTCAAAGTGTGTTGGGACTGGAAATATATGCAACATTGGGAGGAAGCCTAAGGATAAGCACCACATTTTCACATTTGCAAAAATTGCTCAGTTGCAAATGGGCTGCATGCGTTTGCATGGATGACCTGTCCAGTATTTGAAGCGACCGACCCCCGATGGGCTGGGCTGTAGCGGGAGTGGGTGGTCACAGGAAACTGTCACTCCCTGATCAGGAGAGACCTTTCTAAGAGAGTACTGTGCGCAGCCGCAACCAGGGTGCCAGAATGACTTATGAAAAGGTGTTGGTGTTGGCCCCTGGTGTGGGTGGCACTGAGCTATGTCAAACAAACCCAACAGATGCCTGCAAGCATGATTAAAGCCATTCAAGCCAGGTTCACCACTCACAACCATGACAAGCACAGTTTTGTCTTGAGTTGTCACTGGATTGAGTTACAAAACCTGTGTTCTACAGAACTTTCCACCAGCCTTGCATGTGGCAAGACACAGAAAACACAAGTTTGAAGCAGTGTGCTTACAAGCATAAAGTAATTCTAAATTACATAGCAGAAGCCAGTGAGCCTTGTTACTCACCTGATTTGCATTTGGTAGATGTATATCTACATGGGACTGGAGAATGTCATCGCTATTAGTGGGAGATTCTGTGTTGGAAGGCGAGCTGGCTTTGCTGCTTCCCTCTGACATCTGAAACAGTTGCCATCATCTTATAAGTATGCCCTGCTTCATTGGTTTCAAAACTGGCCTGCATAAAAACATGCCCAGGGATAAAAAACAAAATGGCAAAAATGTGGACTGTGATCTGTAGGCACCCCTTAGACCCTTAAAAAACTTTCAACAGGTAGTCGACAATCTAATAACACACCCACACCACATGCTGGCTGCAGAAAATACTAGTACATTGACGTGTATCACCTTAAAATGTGATAAATATCCAGCGGCCCCGCAAACCCATATAAATACTCCCTCAACTGAGAGGAGTACGAAGCACGACCTATGTGATAACCACATGCATGATATGGAGCAGATGGAGGGACACGAATATTTTCCAAACACCGCTCGGACTCTCGCAACCTACCCCGTGTCCCGGCCTGGTACTTCAAGAGATCAGTGACGATGCCGGTGGTAAATAAAGGTATGCTGCTCAAAGTCGCCAAGGTTAGCCATTATGCGAAATATTAGATTAAGGTGATCTATTTGACGTCATTAGATCTGCGGTGAGCTACATTAATATTTAATAGATTTTACTTTTAAAAGTGCCATATTGTTAGAAGTAATAATACAGCACAAAATATACATTTTGCAGCACATGTTATGTCTTCTATCACTAATTAGCTGGCTATCAGCTTTTGCAAGGCTCTCATAGCCGCCAGATCAATTACTTGCGTTGTGTCTTTGGTTGGCGCGCCATTTAACTTGGCGCACATGCAGCCATCCTGCTGTAAACACAAGAGTCACGCGCAAAATAGTGGAGGGCTGCTACCTGGGGAGCTGCGTGGATGTCAGCAGCAAATAATAGGGGGAGACCAGCCATCTTGTGGCCTTTAAGAAGCAACCTCTGTTCCCATGAAACTCAGCTGGCGCGTATCAAGAATGAATTGCGAGGAGATTGAGCCATCTGGCATCCAGTAAGATCGGCTAAGATTTGCTGTATACCTGTTACCTCTATGAACCATGGTGAGTTATTATTTCCCTAGGGGATGATCCCCTTGCCTGCCAACATTTACACTACTGTACCTTCTATACCTCCTTAAAACAGTCAAAACTCTTGGGATAACTTTTGCTTATCATGCAGAAGTGTTTACTATGAATACCTGCATGCATAACTAACCACTGATATTGATGCACTGATGGAGGTTAGCAACAGTCTTGGAATTTGCACACAGAAAATAAATAAAATTGGTCCCAAATGTGTATTCAGCTAGATAGCAGCATTAAAGAGTGGCATACCAACAAACAGCATTAGTGTAAATCTAGCATGGGTTGAATTGCTGTTGGTATAAGTTGAATGAGATTCATTTTTGCCACACCATCACTGATTTCAGCAGCACCTAGTTGTTAGTAAACAGATCCTTTCACTTGTGCAATGGTACACTGCCAGTGCACTTGTGTATTATTTTGCAATGCACCAGCCATGATGTGCATTATCTGAAGTTCACATGCTACGTAGCCTGCATCGCTTACAGCTTTTAAGTCCCCTGGTTCCTTCCTGTCTTCCCACAGCGCAAGAGCCTGGCACCCAGCCAGTTCTCGGCACTGAAGCGACACGCCGAGGATGACCGCAGCGCCGCCTCCAGCAAGAGGCAGCTGCCGCCGCAGCCGGCCGATGACGTGGTCCGCTCGCCCCTGCGGCCCATCAACATGGGCCTGGGTAGCCCGCGGGCGGGACCGATGTCAGACTATGTGAGCCATCCTGAGTCGTGTCTGGACTGCCAAATGCAGCAGCGGACGAAGTCGTGGTGGAATCCTAGGTGGTGTGTTTCTCCAACCTGTAGGCTGTGCAGTCATGTTAAAAGTTGCACTAAGTAGCCATTTTATATAATGAATACTTATAATCATTAAAGGTGGCCTTTGTTTCCTGGATTGAAGTAATGCTTCACTGTCCATTCAGTAGTTATTTTTCGGCATTATTAAATACTACCTATATGCTTCTTTTGTGAGATATTGCTGCGATTCCACCTCGCACAAACACCACTATTTTTCTTCCTAGGCCTCCTTTCTTCTTGATCGCTGATCATCACTTTGTTACTCTGCACATTTCTTTAGGAGCCTAGGTCAGCCAATGCACCATGAATGTCTGCAGTCATGTCTTGCATCGGTAGAAGCGCACCTCTTTGTTTACCCCCGCTGCTCACACACCCTGCACTCGTGAACCTGACCGTCGTACCGGCCTTCCCGGCGGAGCTGACTCTCCGCTCGGCCGCCAGGAGGCGCAGCTGCGCCGTATCCTCTCGCGGCCGTTCAAGATCCCGATCCCGAGCTACCAGGGCGTGCGGCTGGCGGACCGGCGCCTGGGCGTGCGGCGGGCGGGCGCGCGTCAGCCGCTGCACGATCCGGACGAGCCCGGCGCGCTCGTGCTCTTCACGCCGCCGCCGCTCAGCCAGCACGACCGGCTGGCGGCCCAGCCGTGAGTCCGGCGGCGTGGGGAGGGGGGAGGGACGGGAGGGCCACGGGAGGTGGAAGGTGGTACGCGAGCTGAACTGTGGGGGGTGCGGGAGGGGGGGGGGACTGAACTAGATCTGGATGGGTGGTCTGTTTAGGAACCGATCGGAGCAGCTGGGCTCGTTTTTGTCTGCTGTAGGCGGTCACGTAAGTAGCGAGGCAAGACACCGACCGATTAATTATGTTGGTCGAGGTTAGACGAGTTTTCGTTCCGTGCTGCGAGCATTGCGCATTTCTGTAGAAGTGCTTCACAATTAAGCAGTCATCACTGCAGTGACTAGAGGTGGTATGAACAGGCTCGTTCCCCTAAGCGGTGCTATATGACTGCGCAGCCGAAGCGCCCATGAACCTCAAAAATAAACTAAGCAACTCCCTGAGCACATATCGCCAGTGCATGAGCACCTCAGTGACTCCAGCCGTGGTGCCCGGTGGTGCTTCAGGGACAAGCAGCCCGTGCACGTGGTGGTCGACCCGAAGCTGAGCGCGGTGCTCCGGCCCCATCAGCGCGAGGTGAGGCGCGCCCGGTCACGTGCCGTCCGTTGTGTCCGCTGGGGTGACCGCCGCTCTGGCTTTGACTGACCAGCGGCCGCGCGTGGTGTGTTCGCTGTGTGGACGCGCTATGGGTGATCTGGTCCTGGGCTGCAGTGGCGTGCAACCCGTTTTCAGGAGTATACGTGAAATTTCTGACCCGCTGCCCTCTGATCACACCGGCGAACATTAGGCCTGCTTCTCGCTCTGACCTCTCGCCGGTCGCTGACCTCCGCCGTCCTCGGCCAGGGTGTGAAGTTCATGTACGACTGCGTGACGGGCCGCCGGATCGAGGGCAGCTTCGGCTGCATCATGGGCGACGAGATGGGCCTGGGCAAGACGCTGCAGTGCATTACCCTGATGTGGACGCTGCTGCGCCAGAGCCCCGACTGCCGGCCCGAGATCGACCGTTGTATCGTGGTGACGCCCAGCAGTCTGGTCAAGGTCAGCACTGGGTCAGACTCAGAGTGCGGTTAGGGGATGAGGCAGAATAGACAGACTGCTGGTCTGACAGGCGTGTCAGAACCGGTATGTGAGGTCTGTATCGATATCAATGCTTGGGTGCGCTTCATGGCACAGGTCAAACTCAGCATTATATATTTACCAAACCGTGTGGTGATAAGCGTCCGGCGAATGCGCTTCTGAAGGCTTATGGATAGCGCGTCTAGTGCGAGGTTTTGATCCGAGCTGGAACAACGTCCGTGTACATTGCTGGGAAGCGCTTCGTGATATGGTACTATTTTGCTCGTTTGTCGGCAGAGTAAGTTCGCAGAGAATCTGGTTGATTGCAGTGGGCTTGCCTTACAGTTAAGTCCAGTTTATTGAGCCACGCGACTTTCGGTGAAGCTGTGAACCTCACCGGCCCGTACTGACCTGTCAAGGACCGACATCTGCGCGTGTAATCTAACCTATCCTAACCCACCACCTCTTGTCCCTCTCTAACGCCGCCCCGCCCGCCGCCAGAACTGGTACAACGAGATCGGCAAGTGGCTGTCGGGTCGCGTCTCGCCTCTGGCCATGGACGGCGGCGGCCGGGCCGAGGTGGTGCGCCAACTGGAGGGGTTCATGACGGCGCGCGGCCGCCGCCCTGCCAACCCCATCCTCATCATCTCGTACGAGACGTTCCGTATTCACGCGCCGCTGCTGCACCGCGGCGAGATCGGGCTCGTGCTCTGCGACGAGGTCAGTGAGAGGAGGCGACGGCCGCGATCGCCGGGTGTGGTCACGTGGGCACAGGTGTTCTCCCGAGGCGAATGCCATCCGTGTGCCGTCACACTGCGTTGAGCTTCAGCATATGCCGTTGTGCGGGTGTTCTGGACAGTGGCCTGCCGTATTTTAGTGGCAAACGCCTCAAACTGTATGCAATCCGTGGTATGACATAAGTATTCAAACTACATGTTCAAATCCATGTTGCTGCGGCTATTCTAACGCACCTTGTCCTAACGTTGGTGGCCGCGTTATTAAAAGGCAACAGAACCTTGCAGGACAAATCTCACTGTCGTGGCAACCCAGTCAGCGTTCCACGGACCTGCGTGTTATCCCGTGTGGCCAGGGGCACGCCATGCTGACCTCCGCACTGGGCAGGGTCACCGCCTGAAGAACCACGAGAACCAGACATACTCCGCTCTTATGAGCCTGAACTGTCGGCGGCGCGTGCTGCTGTCCGGCACACCCATCCAGAACGACCTGCTCGAGTACTTCAGCCTCGTGCACTTCGTCAACGAGGTGCGGCCGCGTGGGGACACCTCGGGCCGGGCTGTTCCCACTGGGGGTAGGGGTCATTGAAATCCTGCCGAGTACCGGCTCAGAGCTGCTGGCGTGCTGGTGAGAAGTGCCGGGCTGATAATACCGATCTGGAGGCAGTCGGTGCATGTCGTGCGTTATTTTGAGGTTTAACGGCAGGCCATCGGTAGTCTACTGTTCGGAGATTGACATTGTGCGTTAGATGTGCGTTAGAACATTTGCTTCCCATAACGCGCTACGAACGTGCATGGGGGCGCCGCGCCGTGCACATGCGTGCGTGTGCGCCTCCTGACCTCTGCCTCCTCATGTCGCCCTTGTGTCGATGCCTGCCGGCTCAGAGGCGCCCTCGACCTTCGGCTCTGCCCTCAGGGCATCCTGGGCACGGCGTCCGAGTTCAAGCGCAAATTTGAGACGCCCATCCTGCGGGGACGCGACGCCGACGCCACCGACGACGAGCACAAGCGGGGCAACGAGCGGCTGCAGGAGCTGCTGGCCCTCGTCAACAGGTGGGCACGGCGGGAGGGAGCGTCTCGTGGGATTCGGACGGGTGGGGCACGACGAGAGGGGTGTCTCGTAGGATCCGGACGGGTGGGACACGGCGGGAGGGGCGTCTCGGAGGGTCCGGACGGGTGGGGAGAATGAGGACGGGTGGGACACGCTTAGCTAGCGACAGCTGTCAGGTGGAAGTCAGTGCCAAGTGAAACGGAGAGAGAAATGTGCTTAGTAGGTGAATGGTGATGGCAAACGGCGTTTGTTCAGTGGCAGTGGCTCCGACGCAGCACCAGCCGGGCGTCTCGTGTGCGGTAGCTGCAGCCCCTGTCGTCCATTACCAGTTCTCCCGTGACGCGGCCCACCTGCTCAGGTGCATCATCCGGCGCACGGCGGCCATCCTCTCCAAGTACCTGCCGGTCAAGGTGGAGCTGGTGGTCTCCTGTCGGCTGACTGCCTGTCAGCTGGCCATGTACGACGCCTTCATCCAGTCGGACGCGGTGCGGCGCAGCCTGCAGGCCGACCGCGCCAAGGGTGGGTGTCGTGCGTGCCGCCGGGCCTCAGCGACCGCGCCAAGCGTGAGTGTCGCGTACGCTGCCTAGCCTCAGCGACCGCGCCAAGGGTGGGTGTCGCGCGCGCCGCCGGGCCTCAGCGACCGCGCCAAGGATGGGTGTCGCGCGCGCCGCCTGGTCTCAGCGACCGTGCCAAGGGTGGGTGTCGCGCGCGCCGCCTGGTCTCAGCGACCGTGCCAAGGGTAGGTACCGCGCGCGCCGCCTAGCCTCAGCGCCCGCGCCAAGGGTGGGTGTCGCGCGCGCCGCCTGGTCTCAGCGACCGTGCCAAGGGTGGGTGTCGCGCGCGCCGCCTGGTCTCAGCGACCGTGCCAAGTGTGGGTGCCGCGCGCGCCGCCGGGCCTCAGCGGCGGACGGCCGAGCTGAAGAGACGGGGCAGGGCTGGAGGCTCAGCGGCTCTGCGTGGAGGTGGAGGGGGGGGGGGAGCAATCTGAGTGGAACTTTCAGGAATGCTCATACTTGCCTTGGACTGTTTTGTCTTGTGATGTCGTTGTCCAACATTTATGGTGACTGTGAGGGTGAATACCCAGCCAGTGTGTGTCTCCCCACAATACACTTGTCCCCATTACCTGTCATTAGTGTCAGATCTGTCACCCGTTCACCCAGGGGCACACTCCAGTCGAAACAGTCTACAAGCATGCTCGTAGGCGTCCTTCATGTTGCGTTCCTCATGTCCATCGCCTGCGAAATAGTATTGATTTGTCCCCCGCCCCGTGTCAGGTGCCAAGTCAACCCAGTCGGCGCTCTCGGCCATCACCAGCCTGAAGAAGCTCTGCAACCACCCGGACCTGATCCATGAGAAGCTCTCGGACCCGGCCGGCGGCCTCCGAGACCTGCTGCAGTTCTTCCCGGCCGGACACACCACCAAGTGAGTCAGTCGGCAGAGAGGGAGATAACACAGGAGGTAAGGGGGGGGGGGGTGGGGTATTGCGGGTGCAGGGAACATGCTGTTACGAACTGGTGCGGTGGTGGGTGCTGTTGGTCGCAGGATTGTCACACGCTGGGCTGTACTAGGGCGCTTTGAGGCCAACATCCAGAATATTGTATCCTGACAGAGCATCAGATTTCACTATGAGAAGCAAATGAACTCATCGCAGCTGTCTTGGCGGGCAGAGGGAGGCATCGCATGCCAACGCCGCATGACCGCGTCAATGTGGAATAAAACCCGTGTTCCTCACCACTGTGTGGTATTCCTCGCGAGTTAGAGGGAAAAGCCAGCAGCGAACAGACAACACAAGAGGCTGCATGTCATCAAGCTGGCGTGGCGGCCACCTGCAGCCCGTCTCTGGCCAGTCGGTAACTGTCTCTCCGACCGTGTCTCCAGACGCGTGCGCCCCGACCTGTCGGGCAAGGTGTCCGTGCTGGACTACCTGCTGGCCCTGGTGAAGACGCAGACGACGGACAAGGTGGTGCTCGTCTCCAACTACACCCAGACTCTGGACCTGTTCGAGAGCCTGTGCCAGATGCGCGGCTACTGCTCCGTCAGGCTCGACGGCAGCATGACCATCAAGAAGCGGGCCAAGGTGGGGCCGTGGCTGGGCGAGAGCCAATCAGCCGACACCCGGGAGTTGCGGTCACTTGAAGGTGCTTTGTTGCCGTTTGTATCACGGGTAGTTTCGTGTGGAGTGCGGTTAGCTGCTGCATGCCGTCGTGTGCATCTCTGTCACATGTGAGATGAAAATGGCATGGCAATGCCGCTGCTACTTCCGCTGTGCTGCTGCCAGGTATTTGAAGTTCTCATGTGAATAATGTTCTTAGCGGTGCAGTGCCATGCCTCTGCTTCAGTTGGGGTGTAACATAGCGATTTATTCCACTAAGGTGATCTTATGTTTAAACCACAGTCTTCTTTATTTCGGACGTAGTAGCTCCTGATGAAACAAGTGCAATGGTTTTAAGCACTATTGCCGTGCCATCGGAACGCTTACACATTGCAAAATATTGACGTCTTGTTTCCTGTGAACTTCACTGCTTGCCGCGCGAATAGAACCCTGTCGTGTAACCAACAAGACCCATGGTGCCCGCGGGCAGATCGTGGACCGGTTCAACGACCCGAGCTCGCCTGAGTTCATCTTCATGCTGAGCAGCAAGGCGGGCGGATGTGGCCTGAACCTGATCGGCGCCAACCGGCTGGTCATGTTCGACCCGGACTGGAACCCGGCCAACGACGACCAGGCGATGGCGCGGGTGTGGCGCGACGGCCAGAAGAAGCCCTGCTTCATCTACCGCCTGCTCGCCGTCAGTGTCGAGCTGGGGCCGGCAGGGCCGACGGGGGGAGGAGCGCAGGAGCTCTGGGAACTGGTCGTCGGATGTCGCGGACGGTGGCTATCCGTTAATAGGCTGTTAAATTAACCTTATCAAATGTATCATTGTAGAACACTCAAGCCTACACGGGAGCGGATCTGTATAATGGGGGTTCCGGTTAGGCATTTTATGCAGCTTCGTTGTCGCTATTTCTCTTTGAGGTACCCTTAGTGACACTGTTGGACTGGGCAGTCCTATCCCAGCAAATGTGCTTTGCCTAAGCTTATGCAACTAAACCGTCTCCGCCATATCCCGACTTGCGCGTGGCGCGTTGAATCACTTTCGTCTAACCCACAAATACTCAGTCCTGAAGCACGCACGCTTTGCTGGCTCTGTCATCCCAGGCGGGCACCATCGAGGAGAAGATGTTCCAGCGGCAGACGCACAAGAAGGCGCTCAGCTCGTGCGTGGTGGACAACGAGGAGGACGTGCAGCGGCTGTTCAGCGTCGCCGAGCTCAAGGAGCTCTTCAAGCGAGAGGACACAATCTGCGACACGCACGACAGGTGAGAGGCGCGCCCGCGCTGATGCCTGTCTGGCGCGCCACGGCTCGGGGATTCGGGTCATGACAAGAAGTACCTAGCGTACAATGTGAGTACTTGGCGACTCACGCATGTTATCACGGCTATGACATTGCTGACACCCTTTATGTCAGAATTAAGGCGCTCGGGCTCGAATCCGGTTACAATTAAGCTCAAGATGCTTGAAAGCTCGGTGCTTAGTCTTCGCTAGTGCCTGCAGTCGCACCGCAGCTATCCCAAAGTAACTCAATTCGTCGAAAAGACAACGTCGTGTGCATTCCACCCGGTGATACGTGCCGTTGGCGCCGGCAGGCTGAAGTGCGCGCGCTGCGTGAACGGCGTGCAGTTCCGCGGGCCTCCCGAGGACGCCACGTGCAACTCGGACCTGTCGCAGTGGCACCACGCGGCCGCGGCCGGCCGCCGCCACGTGCCCGACCCGCTGCTGCGCGCCGCTTGGGACGCCGGTGTGCACTTCGTGTTCCACCAGCGCAGCCACGAGCAGCTGGTCACGCCCTGACCGGGCCGGCACGGGACGGGGTCGGCCAGCGGGACCGGAGCTGGGGCCGTGTCCGGTGCTGGGCTCGTGACCTGGAGGGTGACCACGTCAGATGGCGCCGATGGGGCTGCGACCGGTGCGACGGCGGTGACACGGTGCCTCGGCGATTGGGCCGGCGTGGGCCTCACAGCTCGCCAAGAATTTCTTTTGGTGACTTTGTTATGTAAAGACATGTGGTCCGGGGCGACCACAGTACCCCTCAGCCTGTACCGCGGCAGTTGTGGTCATGACCCCGGACTGTGTTGGTCGGCTCAGAGATCCTGTTCCCGTGATCATGTTGACGGAGACTGCGCTAGTGGTGATGCTGCCACCTATGGGTCGGTGCGACTCAGGGCGGCTTGGTATTGCCAGGAGGGTATTATGGTGGGCGTGCCTTGCGGCGCACGGTGCCCCACGCAGTTGAGTATTCCAACGTCTCATCGCCGACGCGACAAGCAGCATTAATGGACGGGCATGATGTCGAGATAAACGGCATGAGCTCTCTGCTGTGCACAGGTGTTGTGCCGTTTGCGTCCTTGTTTCAGCAGTTATTGCGCTTATGCGCTTTGCACTTTCCGATGTGGATGAGCATTTTGTGAGCGATCTCTGTACCTTCAGAAGGGTTGGATCTTCCCGCATGGTCTGGATACACCGTGATAATAAATAAATGTAAGCAAAGTAACGCTGTTTCTAACGAAAATAGGCCCCACGGATGGGTACAGACAGGCATCCGATATCCGAATACAAGGTGTACCGGCGAAAAAAAAATTGGTTCCGTAAGTGCCGTGCGGACGTGAGCAGCTTGAAAATACGCAGTCATGTTGCAGCAGGGGGAAATGTAGCAGTTGCGGATACGCGTGGTCTGCGTCCGTCATAAAATACGCGCTAAAACAACAGAATGTTGGTTACAACAGATTGAATGGTATACTATGGCAAAGTGCATGCATTTACGGTACCTATATTATTAAAAGTATTGTTGAAAGGAACTGTTTGAACAAAATACACGCGCACATTCGGAGGATTTCAGGGCGTAAGCATTTTGATAGACTTGTCCTTCGGTGCTGCCGTACATGCGTAGGATTTGTATTAAAATTGGCATAGCCTTTCACAAGAAACGAGTGCAATGTTGTGAAGTAGCCCTAGCGGATTGTTGTGCATTACAAAATAAAATATGCTTTGGAAACGTATGTAAGCTTTAAATAGATAGGTTACGCTATAAAAACAAAATAAATAAGTGATGAATTATCTGTGTGAACAAATAGGTCTTTTTGTTTTCATTATATGTTGAAAATTACATTCCTTGACCTAGTTCTTGAATGAGGCGCAGGTTTCGTCCAAGGTACTTATTAAAAACCTGTTTATCATTTGAAAAGCTTTGTGACTGGATTGGTGCAAGCAGAACGGGCTGGAGGAAAGGGGAGGGAGAAAACGGAGTATCGCTAGTGTAGGCGAGGCCTGCAGGGCCTTTTAAACACTTAGCATCATTATTTGTGGTACGGCATTCAGGTAAGTCACGTCTGCAGCCTAGGTCGTTAAATAACCATGGATGTAATTGGGTGTGTAGGCGTCAAATGTGTGCCTGGGTATGCGCATTTATACCCGAATGTTGCCTTGCTACTTCCCAGATATTATGAAAACATGCCACCACCTAATGGTAATGAGCTAATACAGGTTTTGGCCATACAGTGGTGCTATATCATGAGGTCTTGAACAGAATTCAAGTTGAGGGCCTCACTGTCTATGATGAATTTGTGTTGTGTGACAGATGCTCTGGGTAATTGTCAGTCAAGAAAGGCTGGGCTGAAACAGTTGAGGCATGTGTGATGTTTTAGATAAGAAATGGTTGATGTATTAACAATCATTTATAATTGCTGATCTTCCAGTATTTTTCTTACCAATTTGTGAAGGTGATAAAAAAGTCTTAGCTAAACTTTCAAATTGATATGTGTTATGCACTAACTTCAGTCCCTTTCTGAAGCCAGTGTGAGAACTATGGCAAACATGTTGATGAGGTGTTAGGGTAGACTGGACTGACTGACTTTTAAGGGTTGACTGCTCCTATTATGATGGACAACTGCCCAGTTTTGGGCAGATATTTTTGGCCTTTCCCTAAAAACATTATTTGTCATCAGATTTGGTAATTTTGTGTGATCTTAAGAGTTTTTATGTCATGAAACATGTCATAATGCCTTCAATAGTTAAACTGTATATTTCTACTCCAAAATGTCACCCAAGTGGAAGTTGTGCATCATCTCTGCCCTATGAAAATGCCATTAAAATCTGCCATGTTTTGCAGACTGGCCCTGTAGCATGTCAGATAGTCATGTGAGGACATTCTGTTGTTGATAGTTACTTGCATGTATGGTTGGAATACCATGGTTCCAGGGCTCCAGCTATTACTGTGGTGTATGGCAGTTGTTGAGGGTGCCTAGCACCAGGCAAGTGGCGGTTGCTCGATAGAGCTAGCCTTGACAAGGTGGCGAGTGGTTGGGGCACCACATGTTTGGATGCTGGAGATGTTATATTATTGCTTTGTTGTTATTACCAAATATTGGGCAAATACTCATGGTATACCTGACTTAGTGTTTGGTTGGGCTATGAGGGCGGACAATACTATATTTGGCGACAAATAGTGACCCACGTGGCCGACGCCATGGACAGCCTGTGTGCCCTGCCACCATTTTTTATGGCCCCCCGGCTGTCCTCAGATCCTGTGGACCCAATGGTTCAGGGAGTTCCTGATCATTCCTGAAATACAGGATGCCACATGTTTTGTTTAACAAGTGAGCTAGCTTATTGTGTATTGTTTCCTATGCAGTTCTATGACATCATTTCATGAGCTGTCATGATTTTCTCAGACACTCATCATGGATCCAGTGTTTGTTCCATTTTCAAGTTCAGGGCTTCCTCAAGGGTCCAAGCTATCTACTTACCTGACAGTAAGTGTCAAAGTTAGATGTGTCTTTGTTTTTTTTTGCATATTTTTATAGATAAAATACATTTGTCTGTCCAAAAACAATGACCATATTACATTGAGAAGTAGCGAGGTGCAAGATGTTTTAGTTTTATAAGGTGTGTCAAGGATGTGTGTGTTATAGCAACATTTCTTTGACAAACCAATTATGGAAACCTATGTTTAACATATCTAATGCAAGCTTTGCCAACTAAATCCATACCTTTTGCTATCTGTTTTAATACTGACCAGTTCAGTTGGTTTCTTGGTTTGCCTATCACAGACCATCACTAAACTGGCCTTAGTGCACTGACTGAACAGTTCCTCATGCATGCCCATCATACTTTCCAACATACAGCTAAGCATCACATATTTAGCAACCTGCTGGCCTAGTACTCAAGCTGAGGGGCTGGTACATGCCTGTGTGAGTGGTGTCAAGCTGAGGGGCTGGTACCTGCTTGTGTGGGTAGTGTCAAGCTGAGGGGCTGGTCCCTGCTTGTGTGGGTGGTGTCAAGCTGAGGGACTTGTGCCTGCTTGTGTGGGTGGTGTCAACCTGAGGGGCTGGTGCCTGCTTGTGTGGGTAGTGTCAAGTTGAGGGGCTGGTGCCTGCTTGTGGAGGGGGTGTCAAACTGAGGGCTGCTCCCTGCTTGTGTAGGCATTGTCAAGCTGAGGAGCTGCTGCCTGCTTGTGTGGGTGGTGTCAAGCTGAGGGGCTGGTGCCTGCTTGTGTGGGTAGTGTCAAGCTGAGGGGCTGGGTCCCTGCTTGTGGAGGGGGTGTCAAACTGAGGGCTGCTCCCTGCTTGTGTAGGCAGTGTCAAGCTGAGGGGCTGGTGCCTGCTTGTGTGGGTGGTGTCAAGCTGAGGGGCTGGTACCCGCTTGTGTGGGTGGTGTCAAGCTGAGGGGCTGGTGCCTGCTTGTGTGGGTGGTGTCAAGCTGAGGGGCTGGTACCCACTTGTGTGGGTAGTGTCAAGCTGAGGGGCTGGTGCCTGCTTGTGTGGGTGGTGTCAAGCTGAGGGGCTGGTACCTGCTTGTGTGGGTAGTGTCAAGTTGTGGGGCTGGTGCCTGCTTGTGGAGGGGGTGTCAAACTGAGGGCTGCTCCCTGCTTGTGTGGGTGGTGTCAAGCTGAGGGGCTGGTGCCCGCTTGTGTGGGTAGTGTCAAGCTGAGGGGCTGGTGCCTGCTTGTGTGGGTGGTGTCAAGCTGAGGAGCTGCTGCCTGCTTGTGTGGGTGGTGTCAAGCTGAGGGGCTGGTGCCTGCTTGTGCAGGCAGTGTCAAGCTGAGGAGCTGCTGCCTGCTTGTGCGAGTGATGTGTGATGCAGCACAGCTGCTATGTGTTTGTGTGGACTACCCTTAGTGTTCCGGGAGGTCCTCTGACCTCTACCGCGCCGCAGAACCGCCGCGGCGCCGAACCATCTGAGCTGAGTGGTAACCTGGCGAGCCTGAACCTGGAGCCGGCGCTGGGCCGGCCGGCCGGCGGCGGCCTGCCCCACTCGGCCTCCACGCCGTCGTTCGCCACCTTCAGCCCGGGCCGGACGTTTGCCACGCGCCGCGTCCCGCCCCCAGATGGCACGCCACCTGACCCGCCCAAGGCAGGAGACGAGGCTGGAGCGGACGCCGCGCCACTATTCGAGGTGGGCGGGCATGAAATGCTGCGTGGCTATGTGGGGTAAAGGTTTGGGAGGGGGGGGGGGGAGGGTATTAGATTGTCCAGCTCTCGTGGTGAAGTGGGGGCAAATATTTAAACACAGCTGGGACACTGCCTCTTGTTGAAGGCGCCATGTATGCAAGGGAATCGTTTCCTACATTGAGTTTAGTCATGATCTACCGGAGCGTGCATCCGGGCTTCGTCACGTAATGAGCCGCCCCATCCTCCGGTCCCTGCGCCACTCCCTGCTCACCGTCCGTCGTCCCTGCGGCGGCAGGAGCACGTGGGCGGCACCACCTACTACTACACGGCGGAGGAGGCGGCGGCGCAGAAGTCTGCCGAGCCGCCCACGGTCACGCCGCCGTACACCGCCTACCTGACGCCGCCGCCGCACGTGACGAGCGGCCGCGCCGCCGCCGCCCTGGCCGGGGCCGCGCGCGCCCCGGCCGGCTTCTTCGTCGGCGACCAGCTGCGCGAGCAGATCCTCAAGCAGCAGAGCCTGGTGCTGGTGCACCCCAACCCGCAGGCGTACCCAGGTGTGCGCGTGCGCTGCCGGCCGCCCCGGCCGGACAACGTCGTCTGCGGCCGGTGTCTCGGTGCTGTCGAGCACCGTGGTTGGCCGCTGTGTTTCATTGATGAGTGTGTTCGGAGCCATCAACAATGGTATGGATAGAGGAGTCTGTGTTGGGTCGTTTGTGTGGGCCTGTGGGTGTGAGCCTGCGGAATGTCCGCGCATCTAAACGTGCGCAGTATTGACGTTATACCAGTGCATGGGGCTGTATACAGGGGGACATGTTCTCCAGACCAGCTATATGTGACTAAGTAAGCTGTGGCTGCTTTATGTAGTCTCGCCACACCACGCCACCCCACCGGGGATGCGGCAGCGCTGGGCGTGTGCGCCCATCGCCAGCCCACTAACCCGCGTCCGCCGCGTCTGCCGCAGAGCTGCCGACTGAGCTGGATAGTTACCACGAGTTGTGCCCGCTGGAGGCGCCCGGTCAGCCGCTCAAGTCGTCCCTCTTTGGCTGCGTCACCACCTGCTACAAGGCCACCAACGTCAAGACGGGCCAGTGCTGCTGCTTGCGCCGTATGCACGGTACGTGTGCGGGGCTGCCGAGGGCGGGCGGCTGCTCGCGCCGGGCCTCAGATCGGAGGAGCGGGTGCGGCTCGGGAGTCTAGGACTGGTGCTGCCGCGGGGTCGGGTGCGGGGCGTGGCCCCATACACAGATTTGGTATTGACGTTTCAGGTGTCCGCAGTGGTTTGTTGGGCACCTGGCCTTTGGGTTGAGCCTGGAGGTCATCTTCCGGCTTATCGGTGCGTGGCATCGTTTTGTAATTGTTATTTGGGGTTAGAAACAACAGTCACTGGCTTCTGCCTGCCCCACTGTCGGTTGGTCATGCTCGGCCTGTTGACCCTGACCTGACCTGACCTGACCTGGCGTCCCTGTCGTTGTGCAGGGCTCCGGTTGACCGGCACCAAGTGCTTGCAGGCAGTGGGAATGTGGCGCAAAATCAACCACAGCAGCCTGGTGACTCTGCGCGAGTTCTTCACTACCAAGGCATTTGGCGACAACTGTGAGTGTGTGGGGAGGGGATGGGTCGTCGTTGGTTAGGTACTAGCGACGCGTTGGTGCGCCCTTGAACGCACTAAGTTTCATCAACGTTTCATTTGTCGGCGTTCTGTTCAGTCATGGGATAGACTGGCAGGGCGCCGCTTTCGTCAGTCGTGTCACATCGATGTAGCTTCGATCATTCCTGGTCGTTTACAGTGAATCATCATACGAGCACCGTGTCAATCACCTGTGTAGTTACGTTATCATATACCTGCAAGCAGAAATGCAAAGTCATGGCTGATGGGGATCCTCAGAGTGGTTTCTGCTGGGAGATTTGTATTGTTTCACAAGTCCCGTCTGGCTCCGGCAGCGGTCGTGATGGTGTACGACTACTACCCGGGCGCGGAGACGCTGATGGCGCGCCACTTCAGCCAGCCGCCGCAGCTGAACGGGTTCGCCGACCCGTTCCAGGACCCGAGCATACCGCGGCCGTACAGCGCCCAGAAGAACGCCGTGCTCCGACAGAAGAGCGGTCAGTGGCGGACCTCCGCGGCGGCTGGGCTGGCGCTAGCGTTCCGTTCGGGTGGCATAGAAATACCCAGCATGCCCTCACTGGGGTATCATTCGTCTCGTTTCGAATTCGCTGCGCAGGTCGTGTTGTTTGCGTGACCATGTAATCCACGTTTCTGACTGTGTCGGATGCTGTGGTCCGTTTCTGACTGTAACCGATGCTGTGGTCCGTTTCTGGCTGTGACCGATGTCGTGGTCCGTTTCTGACCGTGACCGATGCTGTGGTCCGTTTCTGGCTGTGACGGATGCTGTGGTTCGTTTCTGACTGTGACCGATGCTGTGGTCCGTTTCTGACTGTGACCGATGCTGTGGTCAGTTTCTGGCTGTGACCGATGTCATGGTCCGTTTCTGGCTGTGACGGATGCTGTGGTCCGTTTCTGACCGTGACCGATGCTGTGGTCCGTTTCTGACTGACCGTTGCTGTGGTCCGTTTCTGAATATGATCGATGCTGTGGTCCGTTTCTGGCTGTGACCGATGCTGTGGTCCGTTTCTGACTGGCCGATGCTGTGGTCCGTTTCTGAATGTGACCGATGCTGTGGTCCGTTTCAGCGCTGATGCCGGAGCCGCTAATCTGGGGCTACATCATCCAGCTGACGGGCGTGCTGCGCCAGATCCACTCGGCCGGGCTCGCCTGTCGTGTGCTCGATCCCACCAAGATCCTGATCACAGGTGCGACAGGTGGCCGCAGACGTCACGTCCGCCACGTCCCCGGCCAGGGAGTCGCTCGTGACGGCCGAGTCACGAGCGGCACGGCCTCGCGTACGGGCTGTCGCGTTGATGGCAAAAGCAACAGCGAGTCGTTGCCACTTCAGCACAGGTTCCTCAAAGTCCAGACCGATGTTTTAACCGCAGTAGGCTTCCTCGTGGTGCCACGTGTGTGCCATTTCTACCTCTACCGGGCCTGACCTGTTCAGCGCGTCCCCATTAGTCCCCCAGCCGAGCTGCCGCTGTCCCTGTCTGTCGGCGTGCCGGCATCATCGCACAGCGTGGCCGGCTGATCAGTCTGACGCGCCCCCGCAGGTCAGGACCGGCTGCACGTGAACGGCTGCGGCGTGCTGGACGTGCTGACGTTCGACAATGGCGCCGCCAACCCGCTGGCCGTGGCTCAAGTGTACCAGGTGGGAGCTGGCGATGGTGTAGCCTGGGCTGCGGCCTCTGCCGGCGCCGCGTCCGACGCTGCCCATCAGCAGCTGTATATTATCTGTCCTCCATCCACCTCCTCTCATCATTCCAACACGGCTTCCGCCCCCGCCACTCCACGAAGGTTGCCTTCACCGCCCCTTCGACCGCATCCTATCCGCAAATGACCGATAATCACTATATCACTGCTCTGTCGCCTAGGTCTCAGCAAGCATTTCGATGCGATGGATCACTCAAAACCCCTTTTGCAGAGTGCGCGCCCATGGTATTGCACCTCTTGATTTCCTGTCTAGTTTCGTTATCACACCCAAAGCGTCATTCTTAATGACCGCTCGGGCACCACGAAAATCTCCTCTTAACTTCCAAACAGCATAGGGTGTATTCCAGGGATCCGCGTCGGGCCCAGTCCTCTTGAGCGTATTCGCGAATGATCCTTTTTTGCTCAGGACGCTGCGGTGGTCCAGTACGCAGACGATACCCAGATTTTGGTTAGTGGTCCCAGATCTCAGTCACATAACACTATCGCTCATTTGGATCAAGTCTTGACTTCATTTGACAATTGGCTCAGATTCAACAGCCTTAAAGTCAACGCTGATAAGGGAAGCAAAAACTCTCGCACTTGTCTTTGATCGGAGTCTCAGTTGGAATTCAAACGTTTCGTGTGTCAGTAACCGTTGTTTTGGTATCTTAGCTGGTCTATCACCTTCTGAAACACAGCCTGCCTGCAAGGGTCCTGACCGCCCTGGTGAACACCTTGGTTTTGCCACAGGCCCGTTAGTGTATATCAGTATACGGCAGCGTCTCACAGCTCAATATGGCCAGGATTCAAAAAGTGTTAAATTTTGCTGCGAAACTCATTTTTCGGTCGCAACAAATCGATCCTGTGTCTGAGCTACATCGGAGGCATGGCTGGCTCTCCGCTGCAGATCTGGGTAGATATCACACGACCTCACTCACCCACAATTTAATTTGGTGGGGGGGGGGGGGGGCGAGCCAGACTCACTTGCACGTATGCTCCGCACTGTGAGTGAAATACACGGTCTACTTACGAGACAGAACAGTCCCCTGTTAATGCCTCGTTCGCGTGCTGAGATGGGAAAAAAGACGTATTTTCTATTCGCGCACCAAAGATGCACAACGGACCTCCGGACTATTTTCGACCTTTCCCGATGGTGTTTTCCCCAAGTAATTTGAAGAGACATCTCGTGGGACATTTGAGGATGTCACGACCTGTTTATGCGGCGAAGTCTTGTCTGCTTTGCATTTGTATGTGTCTCAGCGCATTCATTTTTGTATGATTGTCTTTGTTTTAATGACCTGTTACCGTCCATTTATCTGCTGACGATGGGTTGCAGTAGAAGTTCGGAGTTAATTCGGAATTGCCCAAATCCATGTCAATCATTCAATCAATCAGTTTATATCAGGGCGTTGGTGTGTCGTGTGTGTGTGGGGGGGGGGGGGGGGGGGAGTAGACGCGGTGTGACGTAGAGGTTGGGGCATTGATGTCTGGACCTTGAAGTCAGCGGCACCCAGTCTGACCTGCGCCGATGCCGTCCCGCAGCAGGAGGACTTGGTTGGCCTGGGCAAGCTGCTGCTGGCGCTCTCCTGCAACTCGGTGCTGGCCGTGCAGCGGGACAACTTCAACACCAGCATCAGCATCGTGGAGCGCCACTACTCGGCCGACCTCAAGGCTGTCATCATGAGGTGAGACCAGCAAGGACGGGGACCCGTGACGCGACGCTGAGGCCATTGCTGTTGCATAGTTTTGTGCGCAGCGTTTGCCTCCGGCGTCCACAACGGCATCCAGGGTCTTGCTCTCCCTTGTCGCTGACTGCTGCCTCTGCCTGTGCCGGTCTTCAATGCTCACCTCCTCCCTGCAGCAGCTAGCGGTCTCCATCTGTGCCTGTCTGAAGCGCCTGTCTGGGCATCTCTGTTTCCTGTTGCCGTCAGTTTATATTTTTTCGTCGTTGCCTTTGCTTCCTCACGTCTGTTTCTGTTTCCGTCTCCGTCCGCCGCCTCCCATTGCTGGCATTTTCGCTGCCTCCGTCTGTCCCCGTCTCATCCTCCTGTCTGTTTGTGTATCCGTTCCGGTTCTCCGCATGCACATCCGCTCTCTCTGTCTCTCCCCCTATCTGTGCCTCGGTCTCCTGCCCCGAGATGCATGCGTCCGTCTCCAGCCCCGTCTCCGCTCTGCCGGCAGTCTGCTGCTGTCGCCGTCGTCTGGCCGCCAGCGCAGCATCAACGACGTGATGCCGATGATCGGCGCCCGGTTCTACACGCAGCTGGACTCGTCCCACCAGCTGGCTGAGCGGCTCGAGGACGAACTGGGCCGTGAGGTGCAGAACGGTCGCCTCTTCCGGCTGCTCGCCAAGCTGTCGGCCATCACCGAGCGGCCCGAGTGAGTCGCGCCGGATGGAGGCGGGGGCGCTCGGGGGACTGGTAGGAGGGGCGGAGAGTGTGCGGCGCAGTGAGGGCGGGTGGGTGCTGTGTTGGGTGTCACCGAGAAACCGACGAGGCTGCTGGAAGGCAGGGGTTGCTGATAGGTGACAGTGAGTGGCAGGAGTATCTCGTGAGAGGCCAGCCTGAGTGCTGAGTGAGATGTCCTGCCTGGCCAGCCAGCCGGGCCTGTCTGGTCACGGATGAGCAGGGCCACCTGACGGGAGCGGCTGCGACCATTGACAGTACGGCGGAGTCCCGGCCACGGATGGTTCAGGTGAAGTGGTTAGCGCCTCCGGAGGCCGGTGACGGGCTGCGATGGCGCGGTGCCGCCGTAGTATATGTGCACAGAAGTGGCCTCTAGACTTACGCCCACCTCTGTCTCCGGACTGGGCCCGGCCGTCCGTCGGGGAGCCGGACGAGCCCTGAGCTAGCACGCGCCCGCTGCGCCCCCAGGCTGAACCTGGAAGTCGCCTGGGCGGAGACGGGCGACCGCTACATGCTGAAGCTGTTCCGGGACTACGTGTTCCACGCCGTCACAGAGGATGGCCGGCCGTTCCTGGACATGGCGCACGTGGTGCAGTGTCTTAACAAGCTGGACGCCGGCTCGGCGGACAAGGTCAGGGCAGGGGCCGAGGCGCGGGGGCGGGATCGCAGCAGCGTCGGCAGCGGCCCCGGGTGAAGTGCGGGCGACAGCAGGTCGGCGTGGGTCGGAGATGAAGTGTGCAGTGGGCAAGGCCATGTTCTGGTGGGCTGTCGGTGGGGCGGCTCAGGCTGATACGTCAAGGTTCGATCTCCAAGGCCTATTGAGAGCTGCGTAACGTGGCTCCTTTTGCTGAGATCAAATTCGGAGTAATTAGAGAAGGGTCCAGTCAGGCAAAGCTGGTGGTGGATGTCAGGAGAAATCGTAGTGGTAAATCAGCGGCGGCGTAATGCTGGTGAAATGTTACAGTCCTTGATAGTCGTAACGGTGCGTGCACTTGTAGGTTTGGTCGACGAAAACATATGTTGAAGATCAGCTATTTTTCCCCGTTCGCTGCATGCGTTTTATCTTGCACGATATATGTGCAGGAACGGCGATTTTCACGTGTATGCCCGAGTCGTTTTCGTGACTTGATGCCTGTTTCCCCGTATGTACCCGTGCATACCCGCTTATGGGTACATCAACTAGTTTTTTAAAGCATTTGCCATGTGTCTAAACTTTGCCAAATTGTGTACAGCCTTAATGGTAAAAAGATGAAGGGAACGAGTAGGGCATACTGATGTGAGTCTGTGCCAGTTACCAGATGCCACCCAAAGTCGCATTCTACGGCCGAATGCCTACGCTGGTGCCACTTACCCAGGCATGTAATGAGAGTTGGGGCTACCTGGATCGATCTTTGTGCGATAACCTCTATGGAAAGGACCAATGTACCCCTCAAGGGAAATATGGACTTAAATACTCCATATTCATTTTTGGTTCGTATCGTTGGACAGCCTGGTTCTTGGGTGTGCTAGCCCGTGTCGTTTTTATGCCTTCTTTCTGGTTAGATTTCCAATGCAGTCACTGGACATTTTGGGCGGAGCCTAAATAGACTCGCCGCTCCATGGGCGGGGTCTAAATGGACTCGCCGGTCCATGGGCGGAGTCTAAATGGACTCGCCGGTCCATGGGCGGAGTCTAAATGGACTCGCCGCTCCATGGGCGGAGTCTAAATGGACTCGCTGCTCCATGGGCGGAGTCTAAATGGACTCGCCGCTCCATGGGCGGAGTATAAATGGACTCGCCGCTTCATTACTATTGCCTTTACCTTTTGGGATGCCGGCTTTTTATACTTGTTTTAGGTCCCATTTACCAATCCTGCTGGCTGTGTCAAGCCTGTATAGCGTTGTTGCGAGTATATTTGCTCAGCTGGCCGAACTCAGGGCAGTTCGTGTCGTGGCTTTTGCTGCTTGTATGTGCAAGGCACACATGGTTGCATCGTGCAACTGATTAATTTCAACGCAATTCGTGTTTTTAAGGAACATGCCGGGCTCAATCGAGATCCCTGGAGTGAGCGAAAATCGGCATTTCTCTGGTAGCCGTCGTTATGTAGTGTGCAATAGTTTCTAGCCTTTTTTGTTTGGCTGCCTATCGCATGGCCTTTTACGCTAGCTGTTGAGAGGCCATCGCGCGCGGGCAGCTGTCTGGCGGGCCAGCAGTGCTCGTCCGCCCGGCCACTGACGCTTCTGTCCGCCCAGATTTGTCTGATGTCGCGCGACATGCAGAACGTGCTGGTCACCACCTTCTCGGAGCTGAAGCAGTGCTTCGAGCGCTCCTTCCACGAGATCTTCGAGGCGGCGCTGGCCAAGGAGTCGCCTGCCTCCTAGCGGCCGACGGTGGAGACTGGTGCGGCATCTGGCGGCCGCCCCCTCTCACTCTGTTCTCTGCCCTGCCGGCCGGACTCGGCGCCGCCGCCCCTGCCTGTGCTCGGCCCAGCGCAGCGGCTGCGCTCGTGGGCAGCGCGGCCCTCGAGCTCAGACTGCCGGGGCAGGACGCCTGTGGCGCGATGATGTCGGAGCCGGCGAGGCGCCTCGCCCAGTGATGGGAGCGAGATGTGAAGGCAGTCGGCCGATTTCTGCCGAGCCGGATCTCCGCCGCAGTTCTGTTGTCTTACCGCGCCGCTCCACTACCGCCACCTTTTCCCCCACAGTCCCACCGTGGCTGCCCTGTCTCCAGTCGGGCTGGGTTTGTCTGGCCCTCGTCCCCGGTCGCCGGCCTGTCTCGGTGGCCTGTCCCTTGCGTCCCCTGGCAGCCGCCCTTCGGGACGAGGTCCCCCCGTTCGTGCCGACCCTCCCCCGCGCGTGACCCCGCGACCTGCCGCCATGTCGGTCCGGTCCGACCAGCTCCCCCGGCCCCTCTCTGAATGTGATACACTTGCGGCGCGGCTGCCCGCCGGCGGACGTGGCTCTGGCAGCCGGGTGGTTGGCGTGTGGCGCCCACCGTCGAATCGGTCCCGCACGGCTGGCGTGAGCCGTGCGCCCCTGGCGGGAGTCGGAGCGATACGCGGCAGCAGTGCGCTCGCCCGTGTCGGTGTTTTAGTCGCCCGCCATGGCAGCGACAGGTTCGTGTCGTCGACAGCGCGGGTGTTTTATCGTCGGAGTACAAATAGGGTGTTTGGTTGTTGCGCGCGCCGTCTGGTGGTCGGCGCGGCGAGTGCGCCACGTTTTGAGCTGTGTTAGCGGGCTGCTATATGTAATTGTGCATTCTGATGGGGCGATTGTTTGTGATGGCGTGCTCGCGCGGCGCGTATGAATTCCGTGGGGTGGGGTGTTGTATGCCCGTAACGGTGGGCGCTATGTTTTCGTCTCGCTTTTAAATGGAGGCGTGCTGGTTGAAAGGACTCGCGCTGTCGGTTCAAAACTTTTGTCTAAGCCCTGCTGTGATTCATCTCATCGTTACGTTCTTTTAGATGCGTTTGAATGCCAGTCATGCATCATATTGACGCTGTTAAAGGTGGCCGAGCGGCGTCGCCTGCTTGTGTTGATTCCCAGAGGTGTGGTAGGATGTGTAAAACACCAAAATGGCCAACTGTAAAAATGATTAACATGTCAAAGTAACACAAAAACACAATAAAATTGTCAAAGTTACACGGTATTTGCTGCGGGCTGTGGGCAGGTTTATGCCTCCCCAGAATTCTGAGGGTTTGTAGAGGCAACAGTGGCAACAGAGGCAACAATCGATAATGTACAAATCGTGAGTGGTTATAATTTTTTTTCAATACACCCATCCGAGACTTTTAGCTAGTGTCACAACCCTGTTTGTTTTTATTTCAGTACTTCCGGTGAGTAATTCACATTTCTACGGCCATCACGTCCGCACTGCTAAGATTCGAGATGCACGTTCCTCATGGTCAGACCAAACGCACTATGTCAAACTACCCGTCGCCTTTCATGTAACGACCCTCTTGCCAGACGTTGCACGCGTGTGAGAAGGAGCGGGTACGGCGCCCACCAGCCCGGCCGGTGCATCCACGCCACGTACGTCGGCACGTTCGTGGAGCTCCCACCGGACGGCCGTGGACATCGATGACTGTTTATGTTCACGGACACACTCGACGCACTACGCTCGAAGGGTACGTGATTCTCACGGGCATCTTATGTCTTGCTGCATCAAGTAATGTGTTATGGCAAAACACCGACAAGTTATGCGACTTACCATACATCCTCAAATCTCAAGAACATTGTGTGTTTTCCATGCTCACATTGATACATAAGCAAAAATTTCGGGCCGCGTGGGAGACATGTGTCGAGTCGCTTGTAGGTCACTTATGCCAGATGTTACTTCGAGGTACTTCAGACACATCATGACCTTGGATGCCGTATCCTGGTGGTGACGCTGTTTCACGGGTGCCTTGTTTAGATTTGGAACGATGGCGTTCTCGCCTTCATTGCCAGTTTGCACACACGTGGTAGCACACAACACCTAAGAGGCTCTTTTTGTGCGGCCCAAGTATTGCAACCTTCGGATGCGTCTTCGTGCTATTAAGATAGGGGAATTCGTGTATCATTCTTTTCCCCATGGGTCTAGCGGACGCCTCTCCTGGCAAGCGACAAAGCGACCACTCAGCGCAAAACAGTGGAACAGGTCGCAAGACCGAACACAAGACGGTGGAACAGGTCGCAAGCCCGGGCACAAGACAGTGGAACAGGTCGCAAGACCGGGCACAAGACAGTGGAACAGGTCGCAAGACCGAACACAAGACAGTGGAACAGGTCGCAAGCCCGGGCACAAGACAGTGGAACAGGTCGCAAGACCGAACACAAGACAGTGGAACAGGTTGCAAGCCCGGGCAAAAGACAGTGGAACAGGTCGCAAGACTGGGCACAAGACAGTGGAACAGGTCGCAAGACCGGGCACAAGACAGTGGAACAGGTCGCAAGACCGGGCACAAGACAGTGGAACGGGCCGCAAGACCGGACACAAGACAGTGGAACAGGTCGCAAGACCGGGCACAAGACAGTGGGACAGGTCGCAAGACCGGACACAAGACAGTGGAACGGGCCGCAAGACCGGACACAAGACAGTGGAACAGGTCGCAAGACCGGGCACAAGACAGTGGGACAGGTCGCAAGACCGGACACAAGACAGTGGGACGGGTCGCAAGACCGGGCACAAGACAGTGGGACAGGTCGCAAGACCGAACACAAGACAGTGGGACAGGTCGCGACACTGCAGTGGTCCGGCGGATGTCTTCTGCCAACGGTCACGCGTCTTCAGCTGTTACCACGACACCGCTCGTGCTGGACAAATATGCCGACTGGTGCACAGTTGCACACAGCACAGTGCACACCACCGAATCAGACACGTCGCCTGCCGGATACCCCACCCTCTATGGTCCGGACAAGGCGCTGGTGACAGCACGTTCTCTGTGGCCGCGCCGCTGCCCGAACCTCCCCTGTGGGGGGTGTTGGGAGGCCGTGGAGGGGCGTACATGCAGTAAGTGGTGGGTGTGGGAGAGGTCGAACTGACGCGGTGCTGGTGCGATGAGCCGCGGGATCCCCCGACGGTGCGACTTGCAAGCTAGAAGAGTACTCCTAGTTTTGGTAATGCTCTTCGCGATTCGTCTTGTCTTACTTCACCGTTTTCCGACACGCTTCTTTGACTGGCATCATCATCATCATCGTCATCATCATCATCATCATCATCGTCATCGTCATGTTCGTCGTCGTCGTCGTCATCATCATCATGAGGCTTCGCTCCCATGGGTATTAAATTTCACATGGACTGTTTGCGATGCAGGTGATATAGCTGATGTACGAGGGACATGGTCGAACCCCGCCTCTTCTGTGCCCCCGACTCTAATTTATGTTGGCCAGGGGATCGCGCTTCACGCCGCTCTCGGGCTCAGAAAAAAACAGGACCTTCGAAGGGTCTGATCTTCATCACAGAGCCTTCCAGGACGATGTCCTTGTTACCAACGACCCAGTGACTGTGCACTTCCCCAGCCTTGGCATCCCGTATCCCGTTCAGGTTTGTCTGCCCATCGTCCTCGGCGGTCCACCAGCCACCGTTGTGGCATCCAAATGCTTTGTCGAAGTGGCATGTCTGGAACATCTCGTGCTGCTGTTTAGACAGGCCGTTGCCGGCGTTCCCGGAGTATTTTCCGATCGACATCCTGTAGCCTGGACCAGAAACCGAGAAGTCGTCGTAGTCGGCGTGTTGGTGCTCACCGCCCGACCAGATGGTCGCGCGCAGAATTTGCCTGCGTCGCATGGTGAGCGCCTCGATGGTGCGAAGTCCGAGCCAGTACGAATGCATCGGCTCGCCGAAACCCGCCTCGTACGCTTTGAACCCACGCTCGAAGTTGACCACGCTGCTGTTCCAGCGCCGCTGCAGTACCGTCCAGCTTGTGCCGTCTCCGTGCATCTCACAGTAGACCCGCACGTGGGCGTCCGCCCCGTCCGGTGAGATCTTGTAGACACCGCTGGTGTCGAACCCAGCGGCTCTGAGAGTCGCGCAGTCGTGCGGCAGGCCGCAGCCGCCGTCCTCCTTTGGCCAGCAGAAGAGCTCAGGGTCGGCCGGACCGGCGCGCTCGAAGAAGATCAGGTCGTTGTTGCCGGCGGGTGTTGGCTGCGGTTGTCGCAGCTGGGCCAGCGAGCAGTCCACCTCGCCCGTGTCGAGCGGCTGGGCGGCGGCGGCCTGGCAGCGGGGGTGGGCCAGGCAGACGTGGCTGCACAGACAGGGCGAAGGGAGCGTGATGCGCCGGTACACGGCTTCGGGAGCCGGCGGCCAGGACACCGGCATCACGCCCGACACCCACGCGGCCGCGGCTGACTTGGCCGGGCCGGAGGACGCTGCCAGCCGGACGGCGCCGATCACCAGCAGGACTGCCACCAGAGGCCGCATGGTTCGGAGCATAGCCAGGGCTGGCGGCGACGGGCCGCGGCTGATGGAGCCGAGCGCAGCCGAGCGCAGTACGAGCACGGGTGGACGGAGTAGAGAGAAGATTAGAAAAGACGAGCAAAGACGGGGAGGGACGAACGGAGATTGGCGGAGTCGAGCGGAGATTGGTGGAACCAGCAGGGATCAACAGGTACGAGCCGAGATTGGCAGAGATGAGCAGAGACTGAGGACGGACGGGGATTGACACGGACGAGCGAAGATTGGCGGAGATGAGCAGAGACTGAGGACGGACGGGGATTGACACGGACGAGCGGAGATTGGCGGAGGTGAGCAGAGACTGAGGACGGACGGGGACTGACACGGACGAGCGGAGATTGGCGGAGGTGAGCAGAGACTGAGGACGGACGGGGATCGACACGGACGAGCGGAGATTGGCGGGGCGATCTTCAGCTGACAGACTTGTTTCAACTGACGAGGACGAGCCGAATCTGAGGCGGACGTCTGACTGATGGGACGAGGCAGACCGGCGGAAACGAGTGGCGAGAGGGGATGACTGCGTCGGGTGGATGCAGACTCGCCGAGATGGTTCAAAGCGTTCCAATACTGGTAGAGAGGTACAAATATCGTTGGTAGCGATTAGCGATTTGTGAGCTGTCTGTGATGAGAGGGCTTGACAGAGAATATCAGAGATTTGTCGAGATGAACACAGCTTACAGGAGGCGAGCGGCGATCGGCTGCGATTTGCCGGGACCGGCGGAAACGAACAGCGCCGGCCAGAGGCCAGCGCGACTGACCGTGACAAGCGGAGATCGATGGTGACGGGGGTAGTGTCGCCGCCGGGCCCTGCTCGTGAGGGACGAGCGTTCGCTGCCGGCGACGGCCAGTGATTGCTGGCGGAAGGGGTCACGGTGCGGTGTTGCCGACCCGGCGCTGAATTGACGCCGGTCACCGCGCCGCCCGCCCGCCCCGCTAACGACCGAGGGATTCCGCTGACAGATGGCGGCGTTTCGCCAGCGGTAATGCGATGAATTATGTCCGCGGCGATTAAAGCACCGGCTGAGAACAATGCGCTGGAGGTGTAATCTACGGACGCGATGTGGCCATTACGTGTCGGTGTTTACGGGCAGCGTTGTGGTGCGCTGACCCTTTGTGGCTCGGCTACTGTTCGCCGCAAGGGCTGTGAATGGAAATGGTGCGGCGATGAAAGCGAAATACCATGCAATTCAGCCGCCGCATAATGAGAGCGATTATTTAGCCAACAGCTGCAGCGTGGCTAGAACACTGAAAACGTACCTATTGCGATCATTTGTCTACTCTTCATAGGCCATGTTTGATCACACTGCGCTGAAATGACAAAGGCGAGACACTGTCTGTAATGCAGCGACAGTGCGCCCCACCCGTAGCCATGTGAAGTTCGCTGCGACACACCTTGTCACAAGCTTAACTTGCAAGCAGTACACGTGAAGGCGGATGTCAAGACTGCACACACGCTATGAGGATAATCGACCTCCACTATGTCTTTCTGTATCACGTCCAGTGATTACAATGTTTTTACGCCCAACTTTTCAACCCATTCTGACATGCAACAAACCTCTACTTCCCAGTAGCTGTGCGCAACTATTGCGTTTCAGATATATTTCATCCTTTGGCACTGATACAAAACTGCTGAGGATACTCAACGCGCTCATGAAATCGAACATCAGATACATTGATAACTCATGTGAATATGTAACTCACTAGTCAGCTGTGAGGGGATAGCTTCCGGCGCCATATGCACGCCGCCAAACGTCTTCACCTTGCTGCGCGCTAACCAATCCATGCTACCGGTACAATCTACGAGAGCGACATTCGCCGTCGGCGCCCCCACGACGGCGTGGCCCCGCGCGAGGCCCTCACTCGGCGGCGGCTCGCTGGGCGGCGTCGGCGGCGCTCAGCTTGGCCCAGTTGGCGAGGCGACGCACCGCCAGCCGGGACCAGAGCGTCGGATCACTGAGCGCGAAGCACGCGGCCGCCGCCAGCGCCGCCGCCTCCGGGTACAGCACCGTGCTGCAGCCGAGGCCGGACGGTGTGCGGAGCGACGAGAACACGTCGGAGTCGACCGTCGGCGTCGGCGGGCAGTTGATGACCGGGAAGGCTGTGTTGCCCGACAGCACGGGGCCCAGGCCGTTGCTGCGGCCGGCCACGGCGATGAAGACCACCGGTTCGCCGGTTCCTGCGGCAGGGGGACGCGCTCGAGAGCAGACGAAGGGGTGGGCGGGGTCGAGCCGGCGGTACTCGGCTGGCTGTCTACGAAAGGCGTGCCCATGAACAGAAGGCGTTTCGGAAATTCCAGCGCGGCGTGGGATGTGGCAGCCGGTTCGGAGATCGACACGTTGGAAAGACAATCGTTCCCAAGGGTGATCAAGGCAGGCTATCCCAGGCCATCGCATTACCTGTGCGTAATTATTCAGCACAAGCCGTGACATAATTCCGCTTCGATAGAATTTGTACCGGGAACAATAAGCATCGAACCAAAAAGAACAAGTCAACAATTCCAAGCTTGCCAACGAACTTGGTTGGTGAACTGCATGCTAAAAATTGAGCGCAGTAAAGACTCGAGCCGATGCACCACCCACGCCCAGTTGTAAAAAAGAACACTGAGCACCCAGCCATGCGCACATCCCTATCAGCGACGTCAAGTCCCGCAGACAGCTCAGTCCACGAAATCGCTTCTTCTGCGACCACTCCACGCCGTCAAACCGCCATCACCGCGTCACCAGAGGTCAGAGGGGCGTCTCGCTGACCTTCGTACTCGGCTACGATGCGGAGCGTCTCCTCGGTGCCCTTGTGCGCCGAAGAAACGCGCACCGCGGCAGACACGCCCAGATGGGAGAGGTGCTGCCGGATCTTGGCGCAGTGGTCGGCGTCACTAGGCGAACCCATGATGATCACCGCCTGCAGAGAACATGTCAGAGTTCACTCATGAACAGGATGTAAGCTGCCGACTGGTTGCGGCGCTCGAGTCTTTAATCTCAGCATGGCAACAATGATGATGGAGGCGCAAAAGTACACCGAAAGCATTGGCCGTGCTTCTGCCTGAGAAACGAGGCACCAGAGCCACCGGCGGAAACAAACACCACTTCCGAGCTACTGTGTTGACAGCAACGGCGACGTGTTTCGAGTGGCGTTCGACGGAGTCTCGCGTCACCTGGTGGTGGCGGCTCATGTTGAACCCGACTAGCTGCTCGGCCACCCACTCATAATTCTTCTTCAGGTCCCGCATCACTTCAGGGGTGACGTCCACAGCGTCGCGGAACGTCTGCAACGGACGGGCGTGCTGTATAAGATGGCGGTAAACATGACAACGCTTCACAGCGTCAAAGAAACTTGAGGCAAAACCGGTGCATCCCTGCAATCCACGAACAGAGCACGCTTAGCCTCGTTTTTGCGAGGAGGGCTCACTTCTGGGAATAAACACTTGAGCTTTTGTGCGACAGAACACACTAACGCGATGCCATCACCAAAAGAGCAACCAGCTTCACGTGGCGGGGGCAGAAAATGGGCGTCGTTGTCACCTGCTTGTCCTTCATCAGCCGCTTGTCGCCCGCCGGCCACAGGCGCCAAGAATCGTTGTCAATGACGTCCGCAACCAGAATTTCGCCTGAGGCAAGCGGGGGGAAAACGGCATTGTATCAGATAACCATTACACGTGCCAGGATCAATTCGTCAAACAAAACATCGAAGCTCGCAAGCCAGGTGGACATGGATTCTACAAAGATGATTATAAGGCGCATGGACACAGGTACATCGTCCACTTGACTATGCCCTCGTGGTAACCGCCTGAGGGCAGGTTCGACCAGGACGCACATCCCTACAACATACCACCAAGGCTGCTGCTACGACGTCCCAGTTGCACGAACACAGACACGAAACGACACGACGCACTCACCAGTCTCCTTGTCGACACCGAACTCGATCTTCATGTCGACGAGAGCCACACCCAGGCTGCTCCAGAGCCTCTCGAGCACGCTGAACACGGCCACGGTGGTCTTGCCCATCAAGCGGAGCTCGTCGGGCCCGATGGCGCGGCCGGCGCAGCAGAACGCCGCCGCCAGCACCTGCTCCTCGCTCCACTGCGGGTCACCCTTGGTGTCGTCCTGTCGGGGGGGTGCGCCGGGCTCGGTTGGGTCTGGGAGACCGCAGAGACGGGAGCAGGTATTTGATGGCCATGGTTCCGACTCGTAACACGGCTGACAGAATTCCGCCAAGAATCGGAAATTCCGTGACACGCGTCCGGAGAAAACTAATATGATGGCTTTGCTGCGCGGACGGTGTGGCATATGCGAGTGAAACGTTAACGCATTATTTCACGGCTCCCCGTGTACGACTTCTTTACCGTGCACAAAGGACTACGCACCTTCTCTGCTAATCCCACCTTGAAGAAGAGCTCCAGCTTTGGCGGGCTGAAGCGGTAGCCCTCCTTGACGCCGGGGTTGCGCTTGAGGAAGGAGCCGGTGGCCACGCGCCGGGTCACCCACTCGATGGGCACCATGTCACAGCGGCGGCACAGCAGCGTGTCAGGCGCCGCTTGCTCCACGAACGCCGTCCGGATCCCTGCAGAGCGGCGTCCGCGCGTCGCTGGGGTCACTTGGCGGTTGACTTTGCCTCTTTCAATGGAGTAGGGACCTAATCACCAAAGGGACGCTAAAATGAAAAGGCAACAGAACCTTTGAATTTAGATGAAATCTTAGCTACAGACCTGGAAGAAATTTTATCAAATTACGCCTCGCCCAGCTGTCAGCTCAGAAAACAGACGAGCGATGTCAGAGGTCAAATATCAAATTGAAAAAACTGAATCGCCTCAGCTCGGCCTCACACCAGCTCCACGGATATGCTATCCGTGCGCATATGCAGCCGTACTTATACGACGAAGACGCCCGTCAACGTGCCTGGCTACCAGGGATGTAGTGGTCGGTACAGGGGGGGGGGGGGGGGGGGGAGCGACGCTTTAGCCCCCGCACCCAATTTGGCCCTAAGCCCCCCCCCCCTCCAACTCTGAGAAGGACGTTGTCCAAACCAAGGGAGGAAGTAGTTTGTTGGCTTTTTTGGTAAGGTAGTGTCATTTTTCATTGTTCAGCCCACCTCCAAACTCATTTTGCAAAACTTCCTGGCAACCAATACACACAGAAGGTGTCGGGAATCCTCGCTCTTTGTGCTTGTAGCCGACTGTGTGGCAATCGGCGAATCCATGAACAGACATGAACACCAATACAACTATACAAAACTCAACAGCACTATCACAACCCAGTGAGCCGGACCAGCACAAAAATCGCCTGCCCTCAGTCGGCCGTACCGACTGCCGTCAGGTACTTGAAGACGACAGCGCAGGTGGTGGTGGCGACGACGCCCTTGCCCTCCATCTGGCCCTTGCGAATGCCGTTGTGGGCGGTTATGGCATCCTTGGAGGCCAAATATACGAGGCCGGGCCGGTCGGCCACCTCGAGGATCCGTTTCGTCTTCCCCTCAGCCAGTTGTGTGCCCATCTTCAGGTCTGGTGGAGGAGCGCTCAGTGGAAGCACCACGGCAGGAGCAGAGGCAACGATGAACATTTTCTCGCATAACGGGCACCTTTGCACTCGGAGGTTACATCGCGAGTTGCACGTTGCAGCAGGCTTATGACTCGGACCAACACGCTATTTCGCGTCGAAGCGGTGACGAACTGCACAACGACGGGAAGATAAACGGCCATTTAGCTTCCCAACGCCTGGCGTACAGCAAACATCACCCGTCGCTGAATTCTGAAGAGGGGATCTCGCGTCCAAACGGCACCGCCACGCCGCGGGCGACGCGATCAATGCGCGGACAGGCTCGCAAATACACTCACCCATGGCGCTGCCGCTGCACTGGGCTTGTTCCACCGATCCGCTCTTGCCCGCCCGTCGTTCTCCGGCGGCTCCGCACTGCAGCAGAGCACTCGCGGCGGTCACTGTCCTCACGCGCCGGCCACGTGCAGTGCAGAGTGCGCACCAAGCGGCGGGCCCCTCTCCAGCCCGGCGTTGGTGCCGGTCACGTGACCAGAAGGGTCTCAAGGTCACGGCGCGTAAACAGAGGCCTCGGAGGCTTCTATCATACTAGAGCGGGAACAACCGTGGAGCATGCTGCACACACTGGAAGAAACGGACGATGATGTTGCGCGACTCATCGGAGACAAGCAGCACATGATACCCTCGTGCAGCACCTCCCACTGAGAACGCCTCTGACAGCAACACAACACCGGAATGACCGGGGTTAAAACACTCGTTAGAACTGGAGCGGAGTCTGCTGCGCTGCCTCTGCAGCGGCAGCCGGCCGGCCGCGTCCGTGCACGCCGCCACGTGGCCCGGCCAGCTCTGTTGGCTTGGATCGCCGGCGCGCCCGCTGCTTACGTAATGACCAGGCACGTCGTGTGGAGAGGGTGGAGTGGATTGTCGGAGCGAGAGACTGCTTCCGCTGTGGTTTAAAGTGGAGTGCGTTGTCGGAGCGGAAGGCTGCCCGGCTACGGTTTGACACATTTGTTATTGCAGAGTATTTTGTCTATACGCCGTTAAAAGTGGTTCTGCGTCACCGGTGTCAAGTGGAAGTGTCACTGTCACCCTCTCTCTCTCTCTCTCTCTCTCTCTATCTCTTCTCTTCACTCTTCCTCCTCTCGCTCCTCTCTCTTCTCTCTACTCTCTCTTCTCTCTCTTCTCTCTCTATCTATCTCTCTCTCTCTCTCCTCTCTTCTCTCTCTCTATCTCTCTCTCTTCTCAATCTCTTATCTCTCTCTCTCTCTCTTCTCTCTCTCTCTCTCTCTCTCTCTCTCTCTCTCTCTCTCTCTCTCTCCTCTCGCTCTCTCTCTCTCTCTCTCCTCCTCTCTCTCTCTCTCTCTCTCTCTTCTCTACTCTCTATCTCTCTCTCTCTCTCCTTCTCTCTTTTTCTCCTCTCTCTCTCTCTCTCTCTCTCTATCTCTCTCTCTCTCTCTCTCTCTTCTCTCTCTCCTCTCTCTCTCTCTCTCTCTGCTCTCTCTCTCTCTCTCTCTCTACCTCTCTCTACCCCGCACCTCTTTTCACTTAAACCACTATCAGTCTCATTTCTCTCCCTCTGAAAACTGAAGCTCGAAATGATGGTTACTTCCACCTTATTTGTCTGTAGGGTCTCGCATGGTGCGTCTTTTCACAGCGATCCTGTCTCGATGGCATTCCGTCCTCGGGACATGACACCCAGCGCGTGTATTTAGTAAAGCCGAGGAGCAGATGACACCGCTCTGGTATCACCAGAAAGTGCGTCAAAATAAGCTAAACTGCAGCCCATGGGCGGTCTGCAAGCCACGAAACGAACCAACTAGGGCGGATATAGCACCCCCATACTCTACACCCACATACTTTTGGATGCGGAAGTAGGTCCCAAGTGGATTGACAATCACTATAAAGCGAGGCGAGTAAAAGGGATGAAAAAGGAGGACAGTGAAGAAAATTGTGCAAATCATGAGTTTTCACCGTCAAATGCGTGGGGAGCCTCGTTGGCTCTCCAGGATCTGTTAGCGACAGTAAGCAAAGCCCCTTTTGCCGCCACCTGCCTGCGTTCATGTGTATGCTTCCCTCAACCCACATCTCCCTTTCTGTTCCGCTCGCTCCGGCTGCTGGCAACCCAACTAGTCTTTGTCCATGACCAGTCATTGATTCCAGATACCAGGCGCGTGTGGTGGCGGCAGGCCCGGCCTGTGAGGCCCACCGATCCACCATCGCCGGGTGCACACCAGTCGGTGTCACGGTCACAGGGTCTCTGCCGCCGGCCCGGGTCGCTAATGAGTTAATCAGGGCGCGCTGAGGCCCGTCGCGACCGCCGACAGCGCGCTGACCGCGGGCGCCTCGCAGACAGATGATCAAAGAGGGGATATGCCACCACGCGGTGACGGGTGCTGCACCTGCATGCATTGATTCCGCTTTGAGGAATAGCCCGAGTTCAGACGTGTCGGCGTTTCTACGGAACATTTTGTTCTGCATGCGACGTAAAACACGTTCACACGTTCAGCAGCGCTCTCGGTTTTGGTTTGGATTGAATCCCTTCGGCTAATCGTGACCATTGTGGGGATATGACTTGGATGTTAATGCATAATCTGACGTCAAGAATAAGTGCAGCTGGGAGCCATGCTCCGCGGCTTAGCCCGCACATCGGGTCCTCTTCGGGGTAGCCCTAGCCCTCACCGGGTCCTCTTCGGAGTTCGGGGTATGTTCTCGGCGCCCGGACGGGGCCCGCCAGGGGCGCTCCTGAGTCTTCGCATGCCTGGTGTGCAGCTTGCCTCGCATCACGAGGCTGTGTGAGGATGCAGGATGAAGCGATAATAGGGAAGTAGGTCGGATGGCTGTTCTGGAGAGGCAGCGGGAGGAATAGCGTGTCACTGTATTTATGTTATGTCCGGGGAACATTCAGAGAGGGAGGCATCTCACCGCTCAGGTGACGTCGCCATGGTTTCTCATCAGCGTCATGTGTAGATCATTCGTCGATTGTTTTGTGTTATACGATATGCGTTGGTCTATTCGTACTTCTCACCACGAAGACAGTGGCCCTACTCCGATTCTCCGAGCATTTAAAATTATGTAATAAAATGTGCGCTAATTTGTAAACAGTTTACTCTCACGCCCTCGTTTGACACGTTGTCTAGCAGTATTTATAAGCAATGGATATTTATACGCACGCATTTATTTCGCACCGAAATTTGCAGTAGCGAATGCTTCAACCCATCCAAATCGACGCATGCACCTTTTCAAGCCACATATCATGCGTTCCGTAACTAAAGGCGAGAGCACGAATTAATACAGTTTATCCATGCGGACATAACAGCGTAGCAGGAATGGGCCCAGTTCTGACCTACGGCACGTCTGCGTTATGGGAAGCCTCTTACTTGAGTCCTGAACGGCTTCCAACTTTCCGCACTGAAGGACTTCCTGGAATGTGCGCAGTTGGCGTGCGTGCGGGCTCCAACAGGGGTGCGTGCATGGAGGCGTGGATGTGGTGCCCTCCCCTTGATCGGGAATATCGGTGTTCACTTGAGCGCCCGCGCTTGGGAAGGTTTCGCTGGCGACAGCCCGCTTACTTCGCTCATGAGGGTACTTAAGCTCTAAATTATCCGGAAAAATCAGTGTCAAATTGTTATGCACGTGTGTGAAATCTCTAGCAGCACTTCGAGGTCGTCATGTACACCTTTTGTTATACATTATATTCAGCTGAGGCTAGACTACGAAGCTGCGCCAGCCAAGGTTTTATGCTGCCCATTTCACCACGTATGCAAATGATGCAAATACAGTAATGGCCAAGTTCCATGTTTCTACGTTTCAAAGCCGCTGACATCACACGCTGCATCATTGGCGGAACCTCAGCCACTTCGATCTCGTTTACCACGCTTTGCCTCATAACAGTAATGCACACACGCGTACAGTGCATGCAACGCATGTTACTTGATGGAGGGTCAGTGTGACAAGCCACAAGGCGACAGCCGGGCAGGGCTTCAGCTTTACAGAAGGCGTTATCTTAGAATCCGCGTAAAAATCGAGAACTGAAAGCGTCGCTCGTAAGCCAGCTTCCGCTGCGAGACGCAAGAGCGAGAGCGGCAGGCATCGTGCTCCGTGTCCAGGCAGATGCCACACCAGACCAAAGTCAAGACGATATACTGGAGAGCCTGGCCCACAGCGCACGACTGGCACAGCTATTGTGCAATGTAAGATAATCAGTCGTCTGCTCGGTTGAAGAGAGATACGATTCAGGAAGGACGACATGTGAAAAGCCCGTTTGGTAAATAATGGACTGGACTGTCCGCGTATAACCTAATACGCAAGTTACATCGGCCAACGACACAGGATAGGCTGAGTCAGTCCGAATGGAAAGGGATCAAACATTAACCGAGGCAGCGCAAGCTATCCAAGAAAAATGTGTCCGTGAGGAAATTGGTTAATAAACTCGAGGTTTCGTCTCACTCACACAATACTTCACAAATCCGAATGCCTTGCACTGGTCTGCTGATAACCAATGCAACCTATTCCCCGTTTACCTAGCAGAACGTGCAGTCACTTCCACCGAAGCTATCGTTTTTGCGACACGAAATGTTAGCTAACGAGCTATGGTTATGCTATCGACGGCGCAGCTGAAGCCGACCTTGCCATAGCGCCTGGTAGTTGTGCCCGGTCACCAGCTCTTTCGATCGGACCGAGCAGACAGAAGCGGGCACGGTGGCGATAACGCGCTGTGCGAGATGGACTCGAATGAAAAATATTCAACCATAGCAGCGTGAGCCTCTCAACCAGGTCGAATACGCTAAGGACCAGAAAACAAGGCAGCGAACACAGAGAAGGACTTTTGTGTTCCCTGTTACGGCCTTCTGATACGAAGGCCGCAACAGGAAATATATGCCATGGAATATCATATAGCAGGGGATAATAATATAATATGTCACCTTCAGCCAGACCTTAACAGCCCCCACTGCCAGCTGCAGGGCGTGTCTACCTTGCCACACTGGCTTCAGCGGGACAGCAGCAGGGCAGGGCTTCTGCCTCCTTTAACTGCAATCTGCGGTAAATACGGCCACACACCAGCTGGTCTGCAGACAGAACTAGCCTGAAAGTACCAAATTTGCCAGATCGTTTCTGAAGTCACATGCATTGGTTTGTTCCGAGTCAATCCTCGATTTCATTATCACCAATCGGCGTAGCGCTGCGATAAGGTCGTGGATCGTGGTCTGTTGCATTTCCGCCACGAGAAGCCTTCGCCGCTGGTAGGATGCTGCTGCACTGGCGTGGAACGACTACGCTGTCACCATTACTAAGCTGCAGAACACAGGTGTAATGCCGGTGTTCTCGATCTACACACTAACTCCTTCACATATCAATTTGCTCAATTGCTTGATGAACACGCTCACACTTGCGCATCAAGATAAGAAACCCAACAGCCTCCCCGCCCTCTCTCCCCCCCCCCCCCCCCCCCCCCCCCCCCTCTCTCTCTGAACCAAGCCGCGCTGTTTGATCCACTGCATCGTGTGACACCAAACAGGACATCGTCCACCGCATCGTTG